ACCCCCGTGTGCCAACTTCCAGCCTCGTAGCTTGAACTTTGCCAAAAAATCAATAAAATGATAAAAGTAATGGGCATTTTTGAAAATGGTTATCATATTCGTAATCAGCATGCTCGATTACTCCCGTGTGCCAACTCCTAGCTCCGTAGATTGAATTTTGCAAAAAATCGATAAAATGATAAAAATAACTGATAATTCTAAAAACCAGTATTGTATTCGTAATCAGCATGTTCGCTTACCCTTTCGTGCCAACTCCCAACCCCGTAGTCCAAAATTTGCAAACAAATCGATAAAATGATAAAAGTAATGGGCATTTTTGAAAATAGTTATCATATTCGTAATCAGCATGCTCGATTACCCCCGTGTGCCAACTCCCAGCCCCGTAACTTGAACTTTGCCAGAAAATCGATAAAATGATAAAAGTAATGGGCATTTTTGAAAATAGTTATCATATTCGTAATCAGCAAGCTCGATTACCCCCGTGTGCCAAACTTCCAGCCCCGTAGCTTGAACTTTGCCAGAAAATCGATAAAATGATAAAAGTAATGGGCATTTTTGAAAATGGTTATCATATTCGTAATCAGCATGCTCGATTACCCCCGTGTGCCAACTCCTAGCTCTGTAGCTTGAACTTTGCAAAAAAATCGATAAAATGATAAAAATAACTGATAATTCTAAAAACTAATACTGTATTCGTAATCAGCATGTTCGATTACCCCCCTGTGCCAACTCCCAGCCCCGTAGTTCAAAATTTACAAATAATCGATAAAATGATAAAAATAACTGATAATTCTAAAAACCAGTATTGTATTCGTAATCAGCATGTTCGCTTACCCTTTCGTGCCAACTCCCAACCCCGTAGTCCAAAATTTGCAAACAAATCGATAAAATGATAAAAGTAATGGGCATTTTTGAAAATAGTTATCATATTCGTAATCAGCAAGCTCGATTACCCCCGTGTGCCAACTCCCAGCCCCGTAGCTTGAACTTTGCCAGAAAATCGATCAAATGATAAAAGTAATGGGCACTTTTGAAAATGGTTATCATATTCGTAATCAGCAAGCTCGATTACCCCCGTGTGCCAAACTTCCAGCCCCGTAGCTTGAACTTTGCCAGAAAATCGATAAAATGATAAAAGTAATGGGCATTTTTGAAAATGGTTATCATATTCGTAATCAGCATGTTCGATTACCTCCCTGTGCCAACTCCCAGCCCCGTAGTTCAAAATTTACAAATAATCGATAAATTTGGTAGAAGTAATAACAAGCTTCCATGCTGGAAAATGACAAACACGAAAACACCATCGAGGACGTACAGACAGCATCAACAAGCATGCTTATCCACCAGCGTACAGACAAGCCACCAGTGTTGTACAGACAAAATCCCATTCGGTTTTATATATATAGAAGGATTATCACGACTTATCACATGAACTAGTCTCCTACCCAAAAACTGCAAAATGATGACATCTAATTTAGTTTGGGACACTGTCTTTCAAGACACCGTCCATACAGATCTTCAACTTCCCTTTTGTCGTTCTATGATCTTCTCATTGTTACGAATATGAAGTCGAGAATCCAAACCCCCGACAATCCCGCTCCCGGAGAACCAACGGGGCCGTTCTCTGAACGGTGATTGGACGGGCGAGCACGAATGGGCGGGCATTACTGGAGCGGGACGGTGCCTTCAAAGGCACCGTTCACCCAGATTCTCGACTTCCAGGTGGGTAGGGAAACGAAAACCGACAGTTTGGGCCACCTCCGCGGACTGCTGGTCCTAGAACGATATGCAAACTGCGAAAGGACCAGTTGGCCGAGAAGGCAGTTCAAACTGGCGGCTTTCGTTCCCCTACCCCTTCCAGGTTTTTGTCGCTTCGGGCCTTTCTCATGTCCATGATTCCAAATATGAAGTCGAGAATCCGCGAAAATCCCGAAAATCCCCATTCCGGAGAACACACAAACCGGCTTTCCAGAACGGTGATTGGATGAGCGCGCACAAATGGGCGGGCATGGATGGGGAGGGGCGGGCGTGGATGGGGGTCCTCCTGCATCTTCGCTATTCCGAAGCGATTTTCTCGCTTCCGAAGCGGCATTTTGCGTCGCGACTTGGGCATTGGCTTGATAGGAGGCCCTACTGTTATATGCTGCCAAAGGCTCAACACCCTCAACTTAGGGTGGACGGTGCTTTTGAGTCAAAAGGGGTCGAATACCAATGAAGTATAACCGAACGCATTATAGGCGAAAACGCGCCAATTCAAGCTACACAGTCTCATTTTGAACCTAAAACCTGTTTTCGAGAGAGATAATTGTGAAGACATGCCTTTGGACATCACTATAACTAGGTTCCAGGCCACGAAGGATTGTGCTTATTTTGATGATGAGATTTAAAAGCTACTCCGCAAATGGCCTGATTTCAAACCTCTGACTCCTGACTTCATACCCTTGCATTTTATCAAAGAGGTGGCACACGTTATTTCAAGACCGTTACAGTTCATATTCAATCTTAGCTTGATGCGGTCAGAAGCCCCGCATAGGTGGAAGGTCTCTTTTGTGACACCTATTCCTAGAAAGAAACAACATGGTAGTGTCTCCAATTATCGGCCAGAGAGTGTGACATCAATTTTTGCCAGATTATTTGAGAAAATTATCAAAAAGCTAATACTAAAACATTTGCAAGATCAAAGTGTAATCTCACAAGCACAGCACGGATTTCAGAAGGGAAAATCAACCGTAACTTCCATGTTATACTCACTGAATGATTGGACTCGTTGGTTAGAGGATAATAAGGGGATTGATGCTGTTTATCTGGATTTTACGAAAGCATTTGACAAAGTGTCGCACTCGAGACTTATATTGAAGCTAAAGCTAGTTGGAATTCATCCCTCTATTGTTTCATGGATTTCTTCCTTTCTAGATAATCGTACTTCAGTGTGCATATTGGAGAAGCTTTTTCTACCCTGAGGGCAATGCCTAGTGGTGTCCCACAAGGCGGAGTGTTGTCCCCGATTCTCTTAACATTTACATATATGAGCTTCCTCAGTTAGTTTCTGAGGCAGGAGTGACATGCTGTGGATTTGACGATTTTAAGATATATAGTTCAGTAGCAGGAATAGCAGATAAGGAAAAAATGCAAGAAGCACTAAACCGAAGTAGAATGGTCGGATACCTGGAAATTGCCCATTTCACGAGAAAAAACCAAAGTTCTTCACCTAGGACCTCCGGTTATCGAATACAATCACCACATAAAGGGTGAAGTTCTTGATTATGTTGAAGAGATAAGAGATCTAGGGTTTTTAGTGAATAGTCGGCTGGATTTCGATAAACATTGCGAAAATGTCGCTGCTAAAGGAATTTCGGCAGTGTATAATCTGTTTAGAGCCCTTTCCACAACTGATGTTGATATTCTCATGAAGGCATATAAGGTGTATATAAGACCTTTATTGGAGTATGGAACGGTAATCTTCAATCCAACTAAGCGGAGAAATGTACAAGTATTAGAAAGAGTGCAAAACAGCTACAAGAAAGTTGTTGATTAGAACCAAAGGTCTCAAATACGAGCTTTTACCCAACGGAAAGGATCGGAATAACGTCTTAGAATTGGTCAGCCTATCCAATAGAAGACGGAAGTTTGATCTCATTATGGCTCACAAAATATTATTCGGAGACTGCCTACTCAATCCTGCCAATTTCTTTGAGACTAGAAGTTCTATTACTAGAGGGGACCTCAAAAAATGGTAATACCAAGAGCAGGGAGGAATGTGAGAAGAAGATTTTTCACAAACAGAGCCAGCGGCGATCTAGATAAACTTATGAGAAAGGGTATGCTTCCTTTCAAATTGTCTCAGTTCAAAATGATTCTTGAGAACTATCTTCTTTCGCAGTAGTACCTTCATATTGTTGGTCCTACTAATTTGTTGTGTTGATTGTGTGGTTACTTACACTTTGGTATCTTGTTGAATGTCAAATGCGTAGGAGTTTCCTATGCAATAAATAAAATAAAAAATAAAATGGTGCATACGCCAAGAGAAGAGAGATCCGGCGTGAGTACGATTTACCGTTCGATTGGAAGTTAGCTGCGTGGGTCATAAACCTCAAATGTTGTTTGTACTTGTAAATGATTTGAACAATTTTTAGAAGTTTTTAAAAATTTTAAATCAGCCCTGTAAAACTCTTTCGTGAGCGTGGCTGCCCTTCTACAAAGTTTAGGGGTCATGGGCCTACAAAATTCTGGAAAACATCCTGGAAGAAATTTTCTTTGACTGGAAATTTTTTTGTTGCCCCCTCCCCTCTTCCCATGCGAGAAGTTTGGAAGTTATTGGTGCAGGGTTAGTTCTACGTACACCCTCCTATTCTTACATCAAAATATTGCGACTCTCTTCTTTACATTGATAATGTAGTTTCCAGTTGGATGAAATAGCTTTTCCAGTCGGATGAAATAGCTAAGTTCACATACATCATCAACAGTGATTAACTTCCGGCAAAGTCCCATACCAACATAAATATCAGCACCTAGCCGCTAGCAGTCGACTAATAGCAGTAGCACAGATTTTGCCTCAATCATGAAAAAATGTGAAGTATTGCTTTGCCATCACTTTGTGAGATACAGTACTGATTTTTGTCAATAACGGTAAAGGGTGGTGTAAAGGAGTATGAGGATGGCCAACTATGAGAACTGCAAGCTGGAAAAGAGTGGAAGAAGAACAGGAGAGAGCACTGCGATCTGCCTTCAGTATCGTGCTAAACTCTCACCGCCATATATGGATCAACATTTCTTCGATCTACAATGAATTTCCACTAAATTGATTTACTGGACTATCGGAGAAGGCGGAGAAAGTGAGGTGAAGAATTCCATTGCTTCCTAATTAGTTTTATAAATTTATTTCTCAGCCTGGACCTTCGCGGATTTGAATTGAAGTGTGGAGATCAACCGAAACCACACTTCTAGAATTTTCTCTGTCGATATATTAGGGACTGCGTGGATCATCCTGTTCAGTTCCAGCCGTTTCATCACCTCAGTACATTTCTTTTGCTAATAAAACCCTTCACGGACCACCCATTATCTTTATATGCTCCCGTTTTTCCCTCTTGTAATTGTGACCGTTGTGATCTGATTTTGCAACATTTCAAAGATATTTGTAGATATTAACTAACTTTTGACTAATTTGGCGATGGCGCTGTGGAACAGACGTCCCTTTGAACGTGAAGTGGACACTTGGCGTGACTGGGATCGCTTCGAAAATCGAATGATGCGAGACATGGACCGCTTCCAGCGTCACATGATGCCCTATTGGAGAGACATGGACCATTCGATTTTGGAAGTTGCGAATCAGGCCCACGAGGTCCAGAAATCAACTAAAATAGTTACAAAGTGGACTGATAACTTACGTTTCTGCCGTGATCTTGTAAAAAGCAAAAGTAAATGCTTAAGGTAGTTAATGATGACAAGAAGTTCGCAGTATCGTTGGATGTATCGCACTTCAAACCCGAAGAACTACAAGTGCATATTGATGGACGAAACCTCACCATAGAGGGAAAGCAAGAAATCAAAAACGATCACGAACATATGGAAAGGTTAGCTGGGAGTTTGTGAAAAATTTCACTCGAATACTTCGAAATATGTCCTATCTTAGGTCATTTGTCCGTAGCTGGACTCTACCCGATGAAGTCGATCTAGACGCCGTTCACACTCAGCTCACTGAAGTTGGACATCTTTGCATCGAAGCACCGAAAACTGGTTTGCATACGAACCGCAGGGAACTACCAATTATGGCTCCTCCCAAAAAGAAGTAAACAGTCAATAAATACATTAGATAACGACACGTTTTATGTTTATATCTGCATGAATAAATGTTTATTATTTTATTCTTTAGTTCATGTACTCGAAATGCACCCTCGAAAAAATGAACATAGAAAGACAAACACAAGTCTAGCCACTCACAATAATTGAGTCAGATCTCGCTACCTATCGACAGACTTCTACTCGTGGTAAGAATGGTGCTCTAAAAAAGCCACGGCAAAAAAGGAACATCAAATGATCGAAAATTCATAAGTTTGAGCCTCTTTCGTTGTATAGAGATCGGAAAAATTAGCACTGTCAGGCCAAACGCAGTCTATCAGCTTGTGGAAGGCATTTCTACCGGGTATCACAGAAAACAGCGCTGAAGATTAATAGAAAGTAGAGACTGATTTCTCTACGATACCTTACTTTGTTTGTTAGAAGAACTCATAGTCTCCCAACTCATCTTGAATGCTGTTAGAAGAACTCATAGTCTCCCAACTCATCTTGAATGCACTTTTTCTTATTGTTAGTCTCAATAGATAAGTCATTCGTATTTTACAACCTCCCGTTTAGATCAGATTGTAGTGAGTATACATCATGGCTATGGAAAGATATGTTGATAAGATTTATCAGATTGGAATGCCTTCTAGCTTTGCAGCTTGGAAAAATTCATTTCTCCTTGCAATGCCATGAAAGCAAGTCCTGTGCCATCTCGTGAGCATTACATCTATGCGCCAGAGATGCTGATTTGTCAAAAATAAAATTCCAGAAAATTTGAACGAAATTTGGACCGAAGAAAATCCAAGAATGATAGTTGAATCACAGAACACCTACATGAACAAGGACGAAACCATAACAAAAGATAGATTCCAAGAACCTAATGACTCAGGAGAAGTTAATTATCCACTAGAAAAAGGTGAGGCTCATAAATCGTCAGTGAAAGTCATCGAATTCCACCGGAGTTCACCGAATCCGGTCGCATCGATATAACTTCAAAAGACTAATTGTAAATCTAAAGTATTAGATTTACCCTTCGATTCAATTGGTTTGGCGACTGAAAGGCAGGGCTTCGTGATCTAAATAAGGCTAGAGAATGATCGAGAGCACGCTCTCGAGGGAGACGCTGGCTATGTCGCCGGCGCGAGCGGTCGCCTTCCAGTCGCCAATCTCGTTGAACAAAAGGTAGCTGGCAAGGCGCATCTCCCGATATAGAAACGCCCGTTTGTATATGATAGTTGCACGTTAGGCTGCGTTCATACTGATTCCCATGTTCTGGAACTGTTCCCGCACAGTTCTCGCACTGTGCTGAAACTGTGCGGGAACTGTGCGGGAACTGTGCGGGAACAGTTCCAGAACTGTGCTGCATGCGCTGCAGCCGCCCCGCACCGTTTTGAACGGCGGGAGTTGGAGAATTTTGACCGTTCTCAACGGTTTTTCTTCCAGATTTCGCTCATTTTGGCCTTAATCCTCCACCCCCGCTTCCCTTTTTGATCAGCAGCACTGCGAACTCGAAGCGGGGTTGAAGAATGAGCGCTTTTCTGCGCCGTGTATTCGGAAAGATGGGCTATCGTGCGATTGTTCATTCTGTCTTCTTGTTTTTTGCTCAAAACTACTTCATTTGTTCCAGGAAGCGGCTGCCCAGTTTCCATAGCCATCTGCCACGAATTAGGGAGTAGGAGAAATCCTGAAATTGCATGAGTTGGGACTTGTCTCTTGTTTTTTCATGATTTTGGGCGTTCTTAGCCTTGTTCGTTTTTCCATGTCGTTGCTTCTCCGTTCTTTCTTCTACCCCGCTTCTCCTAGTGATGAGAAAAGCTGTGAATTTGAAGCGGGGTTGAGGATTGAACGCTGTTCTGCTCCATGTATCCGGGAATATGGGCCTTCGTGCGCTCGTCCATTCTCTCATCGCTATTTTTGTTCAGACCTACTTCATGTGTTCTAGAGACTTGTCTATTTCAATTTTAAGACGATGCGAGACTACGCAGCGACTTGTTAGTACAAATGAATAGGTCTGAACAAAAATAGCGATGAGAGAATGGACGAGCGCACGAAGGCCCATATTCCCGGATACATGGAGCAGAACAGCGTTCAATCCTCAACCCCCGCTTCGAGTTCGCAGTGCTGCTGATCAAAAAGGGAAGCGGGGTGGAGGATTAAGGCCAAAATGAGCGAAATCTAAAAGAAAAACCGTTGAGAACGGTCAAAATTCTCCATCTCCCGCCGTTCAAAACGGTGCGGGGGCGGCTGCAGCGCATGCAGCACAGTTCTGGAACTGTTCCCGCACAGTTCCCGCACAGTTCCCGCACAGTTTCAGCACAGTGCGAGAACTATGCGGGAACAGTTCCAGAACATGGGAATCAGTATGAACGCAGCCTTAGGCTTTGGCCATACTTTGCCCGTGTTGCCGATGTTTCCAGTGTTGCCAGTGTTGAAAGTGTTGAACGGAGATCATCAGTCTAGCAGTTTCATTCTTTCTGGAACGATCTCACCGGCTGGTGAATACGTTGGAAATGAAACTGGGGAATGAGAAATGAAATTGAAATGGGGAAGATTTCCGCACGCAAAAGATCCACAAACAAACTTTTTGGGAAGTGGACGGCTTGACTGGAATAGGCAATCTCCAATATTTGAGAAAGCTGACGTCTGAGTGGTAATGTGTTTTAGTTCGAATCCTGCCGCGCTTGCGATTAGTGAGTAAAGGACCTAAGTGAGGTCTGCAGCGTTTTCAAATATTGGAGATTGCCTATTCCAGACAAGCCCTCCAATTCCCAAAAAGTTTGTTTGAGGATCTTTTGCGTGCGGAAATCTTCCCCATTTCAATTTCATTTCTCATTCCCCATTTTCATTTCCAACGTATTCACCAGCCGGTGAGATCGTTCCAGAAAGAATGAAACTGCTAGACTGATGATCTCCGTTCAACACTTTCAACACCGGCAACGCTTTTAACACTTTCAACACCGGCAACACTTTCAACACTTTCAACACTTTCAACACCGGTAACACTTTCAACACTTTCAACACCGGCAACACTTTCAACACTGGCAACACTGGAAACATCGCACGGGCAAAGTATGGCCAAAGCCTTAGGAAGTAAATTACGAATCTTTTCAGATTCTTTGCTTAGGAGTTTAATCAGCATGATTATTCATTTCCCATGGAGTAACACACCGTAGGCAAAAATCTAAATGGCAAAAATCTGCTGCCCACTATATCCGAACGGGCACTTCAATAAATCAGAAAATGCGCTTGAGTTTGAATGGTGCCCTTGGTCTGAAATTACGAAGACCGTGTTGCGACGCGGATTTCGGTGAACTCCGGTAGAGTTCGTTGACTTTTCTAGGATTATGTGGGGGTACCAAAGTGGATGCAAAGATTGAGATGCATATTTTACAACTGGTTATCTGACAGATGACTTCAAAATAACCATAGAAAACAGAAAATATGTACCTACATTCAGAAAACATTCTGAAGATCATCACAGTTCGAAAGATAGAACCGTCGATGCCTAGCACACGAATATCAGCTAACAAAACCTCAGCTAGAGTCCTAGAAAAGAGAGCTCGTGAGTATGGTTAATTCTTATCCCAAGAAGTGCATGAATGCTAAAACATAATCTGATTGCAAAAAGCAACAGAATTTCAGTGGAGTCCACAGGATTGCCGCAGGAACAACAACGTACCACAGCTTCTGTGCCTGAAGGAACACTTGCAATGCTGTCGAAGGATCCATCAATGCTCATCGCCATTTATGCCTTTGCAGGAGGATTAGTAATTGCTCTAATCTTCTTACTATGCTATATGATCTACGCCAGAAGCAAACAAAGGCAAAGGCGAAAAATGTATGATGAGCTGTACGAGATGGCATCAGAGGTGAGGAAGCACAGTTCAAGCGAATAACAATCATTGACATCAGCACATTTGCAGAGAGAAAGCAGGGACAGGAGAGCAGCACGTCGCAAGGTAATTTTTGGGATTAAAGGCATCGTTTAATAGTTGTGCTGAGGTTCTAAGGCGATTCACTCGCACGGCCCTTAACTAGACTCTTGCAAGAATGACTCCAAACCAAGAAATCCCCCACTGAATGTGGAACTGTGCGAAGAAACAGGAAAGATTTCGAAGCCTCACCGCGCCTTAGGATACAACCTTGAAGGCTCTGTTTTTGTCGTTCCGGGCCTTCGCATGTCCCCAATTCCGAAAACTTAAAAATCTGCGGGACACCGCTATTGTGAGGCAGAGTAGTCAGCGCAGCAGAGGCGCTCCCTTCAGAGGCGAACTTCTCATGATTGGTCATCTGCAGCAAGATTTGGGTAACCACTTAGCTATACCCTCTAATCCCCTTTATCTCACCACAACCGGTTCAAACTTGGTAGTAAAGTCAAAGGTAACGTGTGCTGTGCGTGGACATTACCTTGACTCTACCACTAAAATTGAACTTGGTGTCTTATACTTGTTTTCAGATACGGCGGAGTCGTCGGTTGAAGCAAAAACAGAAGAGTCGTGAGAGTGAAGAAGCGAAGGTGAAAAAAGTTTCCGCTTCTAAAGAAAGTAAATCTAAAGAAAAAACTCCATCCAAAGAGAGCATGAATGCTTTAAAGGAGAAACCTCTCAAGGGCTCTTCAGAAGGATCAAAAGAAGCGATAAAAGGATCTGGAGAAAAAGCCGTGCAGACAGTAGATAAAACTGCACTAGAGAAGTCGGCTGAGGACAAAGCAAAAGAGAACGAGCAGGCTATAGAAAATGTTGATGAGCTCATAAAAGCTATCAAGGAGAACAAAGTAGCGCTTGCTACTGCAGAAACAGGAAGAATGGAGCAATCGAATTAAATAATTGTCTTTTGCTGATTTGTCAAGGAAAAAACTATTAAAACTGTTGTAGACATAAACAATGATAGTGTGAATAAATGTCGACCTATTGATGACATACTGCCTTTTGATCTCCAGAGAACTTTCATAGGTTTCCCATTTTCGAAAAGGTGAAGTTCACTCAAGCATGTAAGCTCACCGAGATATTGTTGAAAACGATCAATGGCAGTAGCTCGGGAAAGTTGCAAATGCGAGCTTCCCATCACTTCTTGAGCTTCTGGATGCCTTGAGTCTAGGACTGTGCTTGAAAAATCAAAAAAGTGCTTTTCATGCATTGTTCAGTCTTGGAGATTGCTGGAGAAAATGGGCGAGCGATCGCTGATTGGCTGACTGAGCCTATCAGCCAATTGCCGCCAAAATGGGCGGAATTACAGTCTCCTGCGCTCAGTCGCTGCTTTTCCGGGAATCGTTCGCCCAGCCCCCTCAGCAATCTCCAAGGCTGAAAAACGCTAAACAAGCACTTTTTTGAACTTTAAGCATAGCCCAGGAGTTAGCGGATCCAGAGGGCCATGTAGGTGTGAAAAGATCGCAGTCGCAGTTTTTCCGAGCCACTCAAATGCATAGGATTATCGAATGCTTTTTTTTGATCACTTTGGTATTACATGGACTCCAAGCCGCTTCGCCACTCTCAAATTTTGTGCTTCACAAGCAAGCGCCAGACTAGAGGTGGGAGGGGTAATCACAGCAGTAGTGAACGATAATCAGCCCAAAATTTACACCCCACAGTCAACTGAGGCAAATTTGATTTCCTCAAACTCTTCAAGGATTAACACGATTTGAAGCATTACCTTTTATTACTTCAGATAAATACAATTCTTAAAGCTTGTAAGCGAAGCAGTTTTTTTTTAATTTCAACAAGGCCTATTCTCTGACAAAAAACTGATGTTATACTTGGCCAACCACCTCGTAACCATCATCGACTTCTTCTTGAGCTAAAGGAGGGACAGGTAGTTGAGTAGGCTGTTCTTCTGGAGGCCCAAGCTCTGCAAAATCCTCCTTCTTGGATTTTTGTTCTTTTTTACTGGATTTCTGTTTTTTAGACGATTCCTTCTCTTTTTCACCCGCTTTTTTGCTCTTGTCAGACTTCTGCAAAAATTACTCCGCTGGTGGAGAGTTCAATTTGAGTCTCACCTTCTTTTTCCAAAGTTTTCTTTTCTTCTTTCTTCGCCTTCTTTCTTCTTTCTCTATTTCACGTGCTAGTCTCATCTTTTGTTTACGAAGACTTTGCTGCCGCCAAAGTATGAAGAGAAGTATGAGCAGTACGAAGAGTACAGCTTCTATCATGCTTGAGATTATCATAACCGTAGTGAAATCATATTCGTCGTTCATGTACCGCCTTGCACTGAAATTTCGCAAAGTATAGCTACTGCCGGACTTAACCGGGTAGATCTGATCCCTGTCAATTTGATCTGATTTGGCAAACTTGCTACAGAAAAATCAGTGCTTTCTCTGCTTGCCAATTAACTCACAAATTCATCTCAACATTTTCTGTCGTGGTGGTCTTGGTCGAAGCTGTAATTTATCATAAGACAACTAATGAATAATAGTGCACCAACTTCTTGTCGAGGCTTTTGTTGTCCGTGTACTGCGAACGCTTGAGGTAAGCTCGTTTTTGCTCGACGTAGCAACTGAGAAAATTCTCGTCGAAAATAAGCATTGAAAAGCACATACCGATACATCATACCGACTGTTACTGTTCCTTGCATCCTTATTAACTACAACCACCATCGGGCATACAACAACACAGCCAAATGATGATCATCTGAGATACTAGATTCGCTGAGGTCAGCTTTTTATCATGCAGTAATCGTATACTATCATTTTCTTTCGTTTTCAAACCAGCCCCAGAATCCGATTGCAGTTTGGAGTGGAGATCGTTGAATGGGCGTCAGTGGACGGCTTTCGAAGCGCGTTTCCAGAACTTGGCAATGAATCTGAGCGTGGGGTTGTGGCTACGGTGCACCTGAGGGTTTAATAACACCACCAAATTCTGATAGGCTTCCATTTTACCGCAAATTGTAGAATACTTCCGAGAAGATCAACCAGCTTCTGAATCTAAGCGGCCGTTTAGGCAATAGCTTAGTTAAGTCTCCTGACCATTTTACACAAGAAGACCAGTCAAGTCTATGTCCTGAGATTCTTTTCACAGTTTATACTCCAAATATTTAAAAAAGACGTGCCGCGGTGGCTTTGATTCAGCGGGATTAGCGGCTGAAAGGCGGGGCTTCGAGGCCTAATCAAGGCTAAAGAATGATCAGAGAGCACGCTCGCGAGAAAGACGCAGACTGCAGGTAGGTCCCCTTCAACGGACCCGCGTCGCGGGTGCGAGCGGTGCCTTCAGCTGCCAATCCCGTTGAAAGGGTACCTATGGCAGGGGCCAAACTTAACTGCTCTTAGCCGCTTCATTCACACGCTGGGACACGTACGCAAATTTGCCTAATTACAGTACACCGATTGGAAGGTCTTGAAGAAGAACCTGCGTACACATATATCATTCCGAATGGCTGCATATTCGCGTATGATGAAGTAAAATCTAATCCGTGCACTAATGCAATGAAGGAATTATAGAGGAATACAAACACCACAAACGAATTCAATCCAAACTCTCAAAAATATTCATTTTCAGCTTTTTTCATAAGATAATAGCGTAAAAATTGTACAATATATTGGATTATTACAAACATTTCTCATGTTATGAATTCTCGTACACAAAACATATATGAAAGACATGCACGAAAAAAAATCACAATTGCTCTATGTGCAAATACGAACTTTGGAATGTTTGTGGCCATGATTGAAGCACAGATAAAAAGGCAATCAAGAAGGAGCAATGGTAAGGTAAAAAGCACGTTCAAAAGCTGCTCAACTTATAATTTGCACAATTCAAACAATGATCTCATCCAACTGTGTAGTCAGTGTTAATGGAGGGGGCACGACTGTCTTGGAACAAAGTTTTTAATTGTCTGACACTCCAGTTTATCTCCAACGGGTCCATTCCCACACAGGCATCGCCGCGTCGCGCTTTTACAGAAGTTGTCCTAAAAAAGAGATTGCTGAGTGGGTCAAAGAAGGATAAAGGGGAGAAAAACGGCAATTAACTTTTCAATAATCGAGAAAAATTTTCAACACGTTGACGACGAGCCATTTTTTGAAGGTCTATCCTTGTGGATGAGACGTTTCCATGCAACATTTTATGTCTCGTGCATGGATGCATGCATGTATGCATGCATCCATGCACGAGACATAAAATGTTCAAGCCCCGCCCCCTGTGGCAAGCTGCGCCGACTTGGCCAAAAATGTCGAAAATTTCGGCATTTTTCAAAAGTGGGAGTAGCTTGCCACTGAGGGGGTGGAGCCTGCGTTAAAGGGGCGGGGTTAAAATCAAAGTTATCTTGAGATTCCCCAGTCATTTACAAGCTTTTCTGTGCCATTTGAGAACGAAAAAGTTTTTTGTAGAGGGCATAGGATAGGCGGAGTTTGCCAAAAAGGGGGCGGGGCCAAGATAAAATACTTCTGAGCCTAAAGTGATTATGAGAACTTAAACTGGCCATTGTGCACATTAGAACTTATATTTAGGGTGGCGACACATCGTCCACAGCGACAGGCAGTCTCTCGCACACGATTGCGCGATACTGTCGTCAACGTGTTAAAATACACTGATATGATGAGAAGATAGCTAAAAAAATTCTAGAGTGCTTACCTTAGCACATCCCTTTGACTGGGAGGAACCTTCTCATCACGATGGGAAGCTGATCGTACAAGCTCAGTCTTCCTTGGTGATACTTCATTGATGCGGTTCTCTTGAAATAAAGTTGAAATAATCATGGTTATTGACAGATCCTAAGAGTTTACTCACCAATGCGGGGTTCAATGCAATAAGGCGGAAATCTTTCTGTGATCACTTGGGCTTCCTGACACTTGATAGGCTCAGCTGTTTTGACGCTAACTTCACGTTGTTTATACAATGGCACATATAAATCCTCTTTGGACACGCAGTTCTCCAACAAAACGGATTTCCTTATGACCTTTGGTGAGCTGCTGTCCGGCTCGAAATACTTTCTTGAAAATCTCGGAGAGTCCCCACAATCGATGTAAGACTTTCTATATCGGATCGTCTCCTCGGACAGTATAAGGGACCTGCGGCTCAGTCGTGGCGAGCTGTCAACGTTTAATTGATTGTCTCTGAGGCTTTGCAAGCGCTCGGTTATAGTTCGTAGCACAGGCTCTTGAGACGGTACTTCCGACGTAAACGGATGCACGTGAACAGTGGGTTTCTGAGGCTCTTCCGGACGAAAGCTAGTGGCCGCGATGCGCGGAAGGCAGTCCACAACGACGGTTTCCTTTCGAGCCTTAACACTTTTGCCATTTTAGAAGTAGCTATCACTGAGAACATGCGTAACATTATGATTTGAAAAGTCATTTTTATTGGCACCGTCTATTCAAATTAGGGTAGCGGAACTCCCAAAAGGAACGCTCAGTCTCGCTGCAAAAGTGAACTCCAAAGAGAGAAAACCGCTCCAAAAGGTAGGAGCGACCATAGTGGCCCCGCTCATCGACCTGGATGATCTAGAGATCACAAGTCCCTGAACTTGAATGTATCCAGAGTATTGTGATAGATCTTCCCTCCAACGAGCACAAAGTTATGGCCTTCCTGTCTACTCTGAATCCCAACTTCTTATCCTCACATCACCGGCGTTGATGGGCAGAGCCTGCGTAGCCGCTTAGACCTTCTGAAGCGGTTTTCTCGCTTTGAAATTTATCTTTTGCATCTGGACTTGGGTAATTGTTTAGTTAGGGACCCCACTATTATATGGCATTGCAATCTCGTCATCCTCAATCTGGATGGACGATGCCTTGAAGCATATTTGTCGTGACAGTGATATTAGCAACCAACAGCAAACTTTACCTCATTTGCATGCGTAGATCCACGAAATGCAGGAAATCGCGCCTCACAGTCACCGAGTCGAGGCAGACCACAGTCTGGAGTTTGTGTTGCCTCCTCACGAGATTCTTTTCGAGATGGAGGATCTTCCTAAATGAGTGAAAGTGAGCGAAATCCGCAACTAGATATGCGTAGTGCGTTCACAAGCAAAAACAAACCGGAATTTTCTCCTCCTTGACTCTGTCAGGTTTTGCATCCAATCGGCTGTCATATTTGAACAGTTCGTTGCTGCGTTGTTGAACTTGTTCTTGCTAAAAATGGCGATTACAACGAGAATCTTACTAAAACAGATCAATGTTACTTTTCTTTGGAAGTGAATTCTTTTAAGGCATGGAGACCGAGGAGTATCCGGTTGCTTCCTTTCCTCCACTTTCTGTATAGCTGTGGTTTTCTCATTATGGTGATCCTAGGCAAAAAGCTGATAGCATACCAGTCATCACAAGTACGATTACCTACCTCCTTAGTAAGCGTTTCTTCGTTCTGTTGCCGTAAGGTTTCAGAACGGAAGGAACAGCGAGATAGCGGCCGACGAATAAGCTCAGGTTCTTCATCAGAATCAGAGAACGACAAAATCTAAAGCACTGACGATGGAATAACTCTCTAGGGCACATTTCAAGGAACTCACTCCGTCATTCTCATGGATCACATCCAAAAACCTAGGTGGCCGATCATTAGAGGTATCGTCGTGCAAACTGCTTAGTGATGGCGAATTTTCTAGAATTTCTTTCTTTATAACTGAGGTCTATATGCCGCAGAAAATTTAGAAGGGGATGTAATCACCTCCTCCTACTTCTTCAATTATAGGCGTTTTCTGAGAGCCTTCGTCATCAGAGCATGTTGCTACCGGGCTGCAGAGGTGATTTGCGTTGTAGTCAACCTCAAATGAGTATTATGCTTACATGCTATTGGGAATAGTGACACCCGAGGTTTTTCCAAAAACCGTTGGACACTAGGTATCACTAGGTATCAATACCGTAAACCTACCGGATTCAAGATTGAAAACACATTGTCAGCATTGAATCCAGGTGGCATTACATCGGCTGCATTCAGAATCAAGAACTCTACCAATAGTGGGATTTTCTTGCCACCCTCAAGCGGGTCCGATGAGCTCTCTGCAACGTAGAATTAGGTCCCTTGTATCTATCAATCGGCTCAGAATCTGATTACACTTGTCTCGACCTAGTTTCAATCCAGATGATTATTGTTTACGGGTGCATGCGCACGAAAATGAAATCACACACGATAATGAGGTCGTTATCACGACAACGGTGATAAACACCGCTATGGTTATGGTCCGCGATGTGACAGCAAGGATTGGCAGATTACCGTGATTGTCGAGTCATATCCCACAGGTTATAAAGACTCACCAGGACTCTCCAGAAAACTCGGTGCTAGACACACGGACAGTGCAGACGCGGTCATTTTGGTTGTGGGTGAGTTGGCGATTTTGTTGAGAAGTTTCAAAACATTTGCTAGGAGGATTGAATGGGCTGTGGGAAGCAGTTTGAGCAAACTTCGGCAAGCTGCTATCTGCAATGCAAGCAATTACACAATATTTCAAACATTTCAAACCCAACAAATCTTACTTTCTTCTCGTGATCTGTTTCATCAGCAACCTCTTTCATCCATAACTCATAATTTCCACTAAGTAGAATTTTCCCAGGTATACTTCGCAGATAATCCTACAAGGAACAGATGATACTGTTGACGTATTTTAGAAAAATTGATTGATCCCACTTTTAGCACGGATGCCAGAACATGTGTTCCATACTTTGCGTAATCGGGAACCAATCCACGCTCCATCTCCGAACGGCACTCTTTGAGTGTGCTTTGCTTGGGTGATTTTCTGCAATAATGCGTTTAAGTGTCATGAACAACGAACTTTCTGTGAGAAGAGCAGCGCATACGGCGATCTTGAAGTTACTCCATAGTTTACTCTTCCGAAAAAAAAAACCTCAATAGGTAGCGTTTATTGTACCCAGACATACCTGAACACCCCCTCAGTCTCGCAACCGTGCATCCTGAGATGATCCACAATGCTCATCACCGGCTGTGGAGGAGTTGGACCATCAAGTTCACGTCCGAAGAAACCGCGCGAGTCCGCTCGCTGTAGCACACGTTTCCTAAAAAAAACAGTGACAAATTGAGAAAGGAGATTGTCGAGCTTGGTAGTAGCAGGCTCAAACATGAGGATTGATGGGTCAAGAAATGGGCAAACTATACAAGTTCTTGTTGACTGTACGATTATTAAGTTGGAAAGAGAAAAAATGTTGTTTTTCATGGCACAGCAACAAGATGAACAAAAATATGGGAGGAATACCAACGGATAGCGCAAAGCAGGCTCTAAAGAGAGCTTTTAAAAATTAGCATAAGTCTCGAATTGTGCAAATTCTGAAGCCGAAAATCTCAAACATAACATGACTTCAAATCGGATATTTGTTCCAAAAAATCCTAAAAATTTTAGTTGCTTCTGCGTGTAGCAGACACATGCATTAGTTCATATATACACTCGCTATATTTTCTCATGGTTACAAATCAAGAAAGAATGAAAAATGGGAAATGACAAACTCCGCCCTTATCACTCTTGAGTTCCTCCCATGTATGCTTGTGTACTACAAATCTTTGGAACTCTATCTATAAAAATTTCGTCCTTGCGCATGTTCTAGTTTCTGAGATATATTGAATTAGCAAAAGAGAAACTAGAAAAAAAACGAAATTCTTTTCTTTCCAACTCAATGCACTGTATGCTTTCATAATAATTGAAAAAAAATTTGAAACATACTTGATACTGTTAACAATCTGCATGGGCGATGAACTCTTCGCAGATTTGATATTTGAAAGAATCAACCTAGCATTTGCTATGGGACATGCATCTAGTGATTGTCGTTGGCTTTCAGATAATCTGGAATGCAACGCTTGCAATGCTATTCAAAATCATCGAAGTTAAGTCGAAACTCACCTTATTCCTTGTCTTTCAATTTCGCTCATAATCACTACGTAAACATTTTCTGGGCCTTGTAAAGTTTTGCCGGCACCATCACCTGCAAATGGAATTACTCCTGATCAAAAAGCTTACAGAATTGAGCCAATGTTCCGCTTACCTACGACAAGCCTCAGCTCATAAGAGGTATGGGATAGACCAAGATCTGCAGCCGTCTCCACGACTAATTCGCCGCTTTTCTTGCCATTGTCAATCCGACGGCGAATTACCTGAGCAAATGGCTCAATCATCATTTGGTGCCATGTTAAGTGCAGCTACTATAGTCGGTAATACCTGTTTCCTGCCTCTGACGTTGATATCCATGGATATGGTAGTTGAAACTGGTCGTAAGCATTGCTGGATGCAATAGGAGAATAACTCGAACCATTCCTCTTTTTCAGTGCGACTTCTAAATATGGGGCTGTTTTGCATAGCAGCTCAGAATTTACAAAGACTGAACCGGTTCGAGCAGTTGTACGGGGCGCATGAAGAAACTGACTACGTGACAGTAATAAAAGACAGCGAATATCGCTTTATTGCCATATTACAGAAGGTTATAGATGATATGTATGTTTTTAGGGTTAAGACAAAGACCGGTCCGCAGCACTTGATGAATTAAATATGAACCACTTCTTGAAAAATACAAAGTAATATCAATAGTAAAATTTCCTAACATAAAAGGACTGCCTTTGTTCCAAAGCTATGTAAAAGGAATTTACCTGAAGTGCACCAAGTAATTAGAGAGCGGCCATCCGAGTAGAAACGAGTCTGGAGAATTAGACGAAGCCACCCATACTCGGTCCAGACGTAATTTATCTTTCAATTTGAAGCAGCATGGACCTCTGCAACGAAGCGAATTTTAGCAAATTGGCGGAACTTCGATACTTTGCTTCAAGATTTGAACCTACTTTTGCTTGGAGACCACAAGGGTATCATTATAGAGGAAAAGATAACGATGGTGGCTCAAGAGTGTTGTCAATGAAGTCATCTGCACAGCCCCTTCTTTCAACGCCTTCTTCCCTTGGCTTGAAATGCTGTCCTGAAGAATGAAAAGTCTATGCTGAATCAAAAACCACCAGGGTGAGTAATATCATGGATGTGAGAGCCAATTCATTTACCGTATCCACGTTAAGGCTTGTCGTGGACGAGTTTGCAGGGCAAATCTCCATTTTTGAAAAGTCCAATCAATTCACATGCAGCAGAGGACTTCCACCTACCTAACATGGTACAATATTATGCAGAACGGTCGTAAAAAATTCGATCATGACGTTTCTAAGGTTAAATGGTCCAATATTCAAACAAAGACCATAACTGCATCATTGTGAAATATGATGAAAAGTACGATGACATGAATAATGGTACGACCTGATCGGAAGGAAAATCAATTGGATGAGTTGAGCTTAGGGTGCTTTCGACAATGCTGCAACCCCCTGCATCTACATCTTCATTTTATGTACCCCTTTGAAAATTATTAAAATTATGTTGGAAATTACGAATATGAGCCCCCTTTTTTTATCAGCAAATTGGTATGCGCTGCGTTTTTTGCATCCACATTGATGTGAACCATGTATACATGAGCTGAATGTAGATAGATGTCTTGAGCGGAATCCAACGAGGTTCAGAAATTTTTTCCCTAATGAAGAATCCTCGAAAAGAAAGCGCTGGCGATGAAAGCGCGGTCTAAAAAAATTGGAAATGCGTCACAAATTTCAATTAAAGCTCCTTACCATAAATAATCTGATGCGTTGCACATGTGACGTCACTGATGTAAACGGAAAACAGATGCAATAGATGAAATGAGCAAATTTACATTAGATACCCAAAAAGGCCATATATGAGGGTTCCTAATGACCTCAGGAGTACAAAGCAGATAACTTACTGTATCATGACTGAGGGGGTATACCTCACTCACTGATAATCCCGTGTGAAAACATCGTCTTAAAAATTTTTTGGAAGCTCAAAAACGCCCAGACACAATGGCGTGAAAAGAAAATGAATATAGAGCAAGAACAGCAGCAATGCTTTTTTGCATGTTCAAGGTCAAACGATCGAGACAACCGCACTGACTTCCTGACTTCTTTTGGAGAATCCAGTTTCATGGTAATGGGATTACTTATAGTAGTGGCTACCTGAGTAAATAACCCAACTAGATCCTGCTGCTACGAGTGGACTCAATGGAAAAGCGATTTCACTTGACGTACTCGATGAAGTTGGCCGATATGCTCGGCTTCACGCCAAATGAGGACATACAGCTGGTTCTTCCACGCACCTCCTTACCCCCCTTTTCCTCTCCCCTCCCGTCATGCCTTCTCTTCAAATGCCGGATTTTTTCGTCTCAACAACATGCGCATGACTTCAAAGTCAGTGGAACGATCTAGCGTTCGATCAGCCGCTGATTTAAGCGCAGCGCTTCAATCTTGAATTAATGGCGGCATATGGTTTTGAAGTGGAACGAATCGGATACAGGAACGAGTTAGCAAGGAAGAGGATAACAGCACCTTTCTCAAAGTTATAATAACGGATCATTTTGCAGGGATTTTTTTCATTCGCAGAGGCTCGCCCCGGGCATCACGGATGGTGTTAGGGTGAACTTACGCTCTGATAGCTTGTTTCTCACATCATTCCAAAGTTGACTGAAGCAAGCGACCACTAGTTGGTAACGAGCAAACTCCACGCAACTTCAGATTAAGCGGCTTATTATGGCTTGTTGTAAGTCATGATAGTACGATCATAGCAAATTTCATCATTATGAGGGTTGAAGGTTGAGAGAAGTTCAGAGCGAACACTTAACCAAAGACTTTGAAAAAAGGGGAACCTAAGGAATAGGCAGAAAGTTGATTAAACTCTCAAAATGCCGTAATTGGTGTCCATCTAGCAACAACGCGCCTAAGGTCACTTTTTACACAGCCCAGTTTGGAGCCATGCTGGTCTTTCAAAAATAACAGACAAGAGTTCCTAGCTTACTGAAAAAAAACTGCCACTAGTTGCATATTTACGAATTTTTGACCTTCAATACTTATGTTCAATGTATTTTAATATAACAGCCCATGCAGCGATCTTTTATATTTTTTCAGAAATTTGGAAGGCTTCCTAGAACGTTATTAAACACAAAAAATGCCCTATGGTGTCCATCTGGCATTAAAAATCGCGACTCTTGACGTACACCCCAAAAACCTAGACTCCAAGCCACCACCAGCAGTATAGAAAAGATCTGAGAGATTTTGAGCTTTGTTCAAACAAACGCATTTAGAAGAAGAGGCTTGAAATGTCACCCAGCTGCACAATAGCCCCCAGATAAGTAATCCTCCTAGTTCTGCTGCACGAGATGAATCAAAGAGAGAAAATCGCTTCAGAAAGTATAAGAGGCCAAGCTAGTTCCGCCCATCAAAGTGGGTGGTCTGAAAATAACAAATCCAAAATTTAAAAAAAAAACCTAGACTCAACTCTAAAATGGCCCATTATGATTACCAGATTTTCGACATTTCTGTTTAACTTGAAGCCCACTTTCAAACTTATCATCCTCAGAGCACCCCGTCGATGGTCGGGCCACCTTGGCTGATCCTACTTTCTGGAGCAATTTATCCCCTTCGAAACTCGTCTTTTGCAGCGGGACTTATGCGATTACTAGGATTCCCGTTATTATACAGCATCAAACTTTCACCCCTCTCAGTTTGGGTGGATGGTGCCCTCAAACTCAGATTTTGAAACACAAGCGGAACGAGACATTAATACATTCGCGAATAAATCTCTAACTCCTGTAAATGATGGGGATGGGACAAAATATGGCTGGCTAAGATTCCAAGCTCTCTTAAGACAGAAATTCAAACATATAATCGCAGATTTCAGTCCTCTGCACAAAGTAAAGCTTTCAACGACCCTCAGCCTATATAGCCATGTCCCCCCTCCCTCCCGCCCATCAAAAACTCTTTGCAGCAGCGAGGCTCAGCCTGTATTCTGCTGACCACCAACAATGGGTTCAGAAATGAATCACCGTTGCGTAAACGTCGTTCCTCGTTTACCGGTCGCGCACAGCACGAGCTCAGGAAAAAAACATTGGAAAACCATTGGCTATATCAGATATACGTCTTCCAGCGGGTTTTGCCAGAAACTATCGCAGTTTAGGGAGTCTGGAAAGCTTCTCTTTTGAGATGGTGAATAATCTTACACATATCAAGGCCGATTTATTGCTGCGAGCTAAGAAATGCTGCTCGAGGCGTATTTGAAGCAAATGACTAATATAAACCATTGTTTTACAGCCGGATCCTCGTGATGAAAAATTGATAATTGTCAGCATTTTCAAAGCGATGACACAGATTCTTACTAAGTTTTTAGCACCAAAGTGTCATACGCGGTCCAGATTATCTATCATTTGCTATTTCGAACGATTATCGGAAAATTTTGTTGAGAAGGCTTAAGAACACAATGCGGAAAGAAAACGACATTGTAAAAAAGTTGAGTGCGAGTCACGCAGAGCGGAAGAAATTGGAAACGTTCGCATGGTATTCGAACGATTTTGGGGAAGTAGACAAACCGGAGCGAGTCAAAAAACAATATAAAAGATAAGTTAGAGGTCATAAGGCCACAATTAAGAAAGATTCATCAAAGTGAAACCCTGAGCACACCCAACTAATTTTCATTACCAAATAAAGTTTACAAATCTGCTACAACTTCAACAGCTCACATAAACAAAGTTATAAAAGGCTCTTAAAGTGAACGAGATTTCCGCTGCAATCTGCCGTCAAATGGCAGTTGTGACCTAGATGCGTAGAAGTGGCGATTTCATAGCACAGAAAACCGACGTAACCGAAAATTCCAATTTGAGCTTTCATTTAATTTTCAAAACAAGCTACGTTCGAGCACAAAAATCAGATTTCTTGCTGTTGATAAGATAAACCAGTAATGAAGTAGGAGAACGAGCATAATGAAAGAATCAAAGGATATCAATGGCAGCCACAGCTCGACACAATATTTTCTTTCGTGGTTGAAAAATCTTGCATGATCAGATATTCGCAAAAATTAATGTTTTTCAAGCCATTTTTTCAATCTAAAAAGCCGCTGATGTATAGGAGACTTCCGAAACTGCATGGCAAGTTTTTTTTTTTGAGAGAATAGATCCATTTGGAAGGTTTCCGAAGGTGGAACAATATTGCAGAAAGTTTCAGAAAAGCATCTCAAAAGATGGTGCACTTTCGCGACAACAAAGATTTTTTTTCTGGTTTGAAAGGATCTAGTTGCAGGATAAAAAAGATTGAGAATGTTTAACATGCTTGAAAGAAAACTAGAAAAGATGGACAAGACTACCTATTTTTACACGAGAAGAAAAAAAATTGAAAGTAGTTTTTATGATTAGAAATACTGCATGATTACAAAGTATACAAATTGATAAGGAAACGCATGAGGGCATTAGCGACCAATAATCATCAATTCTGTGACTCGGAAACTCGAGACCGATTTGCACATATGTCTAAACAAGGCTAAACTTGTTCTTTCCTGGTTTTTTAGTCGCAAATTCCAGATGAATTACACCATGAGCCTGTTAAACAAGTTAAACTTGCTAAATACACGATCAAGCCTGCTTAGACAATGTGTGCAAAGCGATTTCAAGTCTTTTAAGTATAAATAATACTAAGCATTAGAGATAATATTTGCTCCTGGTCAGGAGAGAAGTGCTAACTTAGGACTCATAAATTTTGAAACGCAAAAAGCTGAGCACTAGTAGTTTGAACGATTGAACGGCGTCAATATGTCGGATGCGCATGCAAATGAGAGCCGAAGTGGATTCGCAGTGAAGGCGAGCGCTCGAAGGCGTGGCGGGGCGAGACGTCCCCGTACGGAGGATCTGCAGCGACGATACGATACTGCAATCGAGGGGACCGCTCGGCGCTGCCGATCGCCCGAACTCTCACTCGCTCAGCTGACCGTCGGCGACGCCTCGACGCACGGACTCAACGAACGGCCACTCGCGCAAGCGTAACGTGTCTTTGCACGACGCGTTTGACCCGCCGTTCGGCTGTTGTTCAAGGCTGCCCGCACCGCTCGTACATCTACACTCTCACAAATAGATACGTTCGACGGATTAGGTAGCGCGAAGCAGGCGAAACTCAGGTGAAGGGACATCTTGCGGTCACAATCTCATGCATTAACATCCCCATCGGGGAGGGAATCTCAGCTCAAATGAAGCTTCATATCCTGAAGATCCAGGTATTTAGAATTCACGCTATCTGCCTATCCTTAAGTGTTCCTACTATCCTACACTATAATCATATTGAACTGGAGTTAGAAGTTGTGCAAGCCGCGTTTTCCAGCTTTTTGTTGATCCCCTTGATTCCCGCCGGTCGACCGTCTTTCCTTCAGTCACTTTTCTATCTTCGAAGTTGACGATATGTCAAAGCTGTACCGGTTATCTAAACCAATACCGGTAAGCATGTTGCTGATAAGAACAAACAAGTTTTTCAAGTATCGAAATTTCCGATAAACCGCAACATTCGACTTGTGGTTCATCTGTTAGATTTCATGACTTCAATACATCATTTGCTCTTATCAGCAACATGCTTAGCACTGTTCGGTTAGATAATCAGTACAGCTCCAATGTTTTCGTCAACCTCGAAGAAAGAAATATGACTTTGAAGAAAAGACGGTCGGCCGGCGGGGATCATCAGGGGATCATACAAAAAGCTGGAAAACGCGGCTTGCACAACTTCTAACTCCACTTCAATATGTTTATAGTGAAAGATAGTAGAAACACAACACTTGAGAATATAGGACAGTTTGAAATCCAGACATCTGGAACTTCTGAAATTGAAGCTTTCTTCGAAGCTGCCATCCTCTATCGGCGAGGATTTTAATGTATGCAGCCTTTAGAATTACTCGAGCGTTGGCAAAAATAATCGTGTAATATCTCACCGCTTATCAATGAGTATAATCAATGAAGAATATACTGGATGTTCCGGTAACAGGTGGGATACCAAATTACCCTGGCAAATCGGAAAGAAACGTATACCACTAAACGCGACTTTAAACTTGATTCCAAATCTGCCTTCCTTTTCTGCTAAACAACTATGCGAAAGATGTGGAGCCTGAAAGCCTAAACTTGCAAAGTCTCAAGTGGTATAAAATCAGCGAAAAGCTGCACAAAAACACCTATGCGGATTTCCAATGACTATGTCCTTTGCTTGTAGTCATCAAACTCAATACAAGATTGAATACTCAATTTCACTTGTTTTTGTGCTACTTTTCGCTAATTTTATATGGCTTCACAAATTCTTTGGCAGCCGATCTGCAAAAAAGAACAAATGATTTGGAATCAGCGCTTGGAGCATTCTTATGTAATTCTCTTTTTGTTTCGTCAGTGTGATTTACCCTCCTCACGTTATATTAAAACGTCCTAGAAAAAAGAAGCATCACATGCAAAATTCATCATCAAATTTTTCGACATATAGAAACCCAGGATCATTCTACTTAAATGCATAACTGTAGAAGAGCGCTAAGAATCCACACCTGATGTTTTGAACAACGAAACGACTACGCTCTCTTCTCACGAGTCATCAAAAAGTCCGTGAGTGCGTCTCACCTCAAGTAAAATGCTCTACTTTCGCGTCTTTTCTCGCAGCGATCATCTCGTAATCGCCCTTGTCCTCTGTCGGTATGTGATTACCACCTACTTGCCCTATCGCATACGTAAAATAAAAGCACTGCATGTTTTAAAAATAAAAAAACTTTTTTTAACAACGAAAAGCGTGCAAAGAGAGAGACGCTTATCAGATGAGATGAGACTCTTCGTATTTGAATCAATAAAAAAACGAGCTAGAAGTTTCTGTTACATCCTTGTCAGCTTATTGTCACTTAATGTCAATGAAACAAACAGCTAGCAAAACTTTCTTTTTGACAATATTTGACCGTGGAAGATACGATACCAGAGTTTCAAAGAATATTTGCCGCAACTCTTATTCTCAGGGCTTAGCCAGAATTTTGTGAATACAAATAAAAACGAATCCATTACGGCAAATCCGACGAAACATAAAATCATTAATACATATTCATTCAGCTAAACGTCGACAAATCAGTGATTCAGCTTCTCTGACAGGCATCTCTATGTTTGTTGTTTATAGAGACCATAAAGGGTTTATCACCAGCAAGCTACTGAGAAAATCGCAGAACAAAAGAAAACCAAAACAAAAAAACAAAAAAAAAATTGTGTGATGAACTAAAGAATTGCTGAACCGTACACCTAATTTAGTGAAGCAAACAACTACAGTCCCGAATATTTCTTTTACCTACTTATCCAACATTTATGTTCGTAAAACTTGGAAGGCAATTTAAGAACTGGAAACATTTATTGATTTAAAAAAGATGCAACGAGATGGAGAAGGATGGTGAGTCACGATTAATTGCTCAGCACAAAAAGTTCGTTCGAAGAAAAAACTGAGCCAAAGTCTATAGTAAAAAGCAGCCAGCATGCACGCACATGTACGCTGCTACACAATATGCAAAGGTTTAGCTTGTTTGCTTCTGAACTCTAGCCTTATATATCGAAACACAGGAGTTTCTACACTGTAGGATGAGCGCGTTGCCCTTGACATGGCATTGTCAGCAACGACTGCAAAGAATAGTGCAAAAGCAAAGGACAAGTTTCTAACCTCTTCACAAATGCTCAAGTGACTCTAGTGGCCCATGTTCGAACTGTCTGACTTTTGAGTATCTCTGCGAACAGTGTGTTGCACACCAAAGTAATCTCAATGAGAAGTCGAAAATTGCAAACCATACTTGAAAAACCAATTGCCGGTGCAGAGTTTCACTTAGAAGAGGACTAGCAAAAAAGTTACATACAGCACTGCTCATAATTCGTAAAAAAGTCACCGCACTCCATGGATTTCACCGAAACTCGCGTAGCACCGCCATATTTTGGTTCAGAATGAACGGTTTGAATACAAGAGCATCATGTGACACAACTCGTCGAGTCGGATCTTCTATATATTTTGGATACGTAGCCGGTCACTTTTCATAGAAGTCTCCCTACGGTAGTATAGGGCGTTCGAAAAATAGTGACAATGGCGCGACGCGCACTTGCGGCAACGCGCATTTTCGTGGTTTGCTTACATATGATAATATTTCGACACTGGAAGTGACTGAGCTGAGCGTTAAGATGATGCCTTTTGTATGAAAGTATGCTCCTGTGGGCGTAAAGGCCGCAGTCAAAAGCAACGTCATGGTCAAAAATGACTATACTCAGTGTATGAATAATCACAATCAATAAGCCACGTAAGCGAAATTCTAAAGATTAGTGTGATCTGACTTACACCAATCGATCCCAACGGGCACTCGACGAATCAGAAGATGAGCCCCGCCGAGCTGAGTCGAAAATGGTGCCCTTAGGTTCAGAATTTGGTCCACTCTGAACGAAGAGACGATGCAAAACGGAGTTCGGTGAACTACATGAGATATTATATTTCGGTATATTTGACGGACTATGAACTGTATCGTATTTCAACTCTGGATAACATCTGGGCACCCCGACGGACCACACACAGATAAAGCAAAAAATCACAGCATAGCTGGTTAAGGAGATGTGAGTATCGAGTGAGGTAGCAGCCGTAAGGAGGTGTCCGCGCAGACCAGAACAAACATCGCCGACCGCTGCACCTCACACGTGCAAACAGTTCGTTTTGCCTCATTTGCCTCGCTTTTTCAGGCTGGAACGGGCCGCAATGTTACTTTCGTCTAAAGCGAATGAACTTGAAGTGAAGGTCTTGTGAACGTCAGAAAAGATTTCAACTCTCAATTAGACGAAGTTAGCAGTATGCGGAAGAGCCCAATAACGCAGTAGGCTATAAAAAAACTGCTCACGGACTAAGACCTGATCTGAGATATCCTTTAGCAGAGTACTGAGCCGGTTATGTCCGTTTAACGGATAGCTTGCCCATACAGGAGATTCAGCCACTAGTTTCGCTATTCGAGCACTTTTTCATGCAAAATTATATGAGGGGAAAAGAGGAGACATAAATTTCGTTTACGATAAGCCACAGCGCTGATCAGTATATGAAAAGCTTGGAACCCTCAGTTTTCAAGGGCAGAAACATGTTGCGTTCAGATTGTGAATGGAAAAGAGGGGGGAGGGCTGCTCCACGACGCGATCGAGTTGATATAGATAAGTATTAAAGTAATGTTTTGATTTTTTGCTACTAAAGTAATGTTTGCTTTTTCTGCAAATTCAATGTATCTCGTAAACAACTAGCAAAATGTCCAAAATGCACTCTCGACATATTAGGTTGGCTAGTAAATTAGTTCGTTTTGACACGTAAATTCAAAGCTCCATAACGATTCATGTAGCAGCTAACCAGCTAAGTTTTTTTTGGGAAAAGTTAGCTTCAACTTCTACTCAAATCAACTATTCTAGATTTTCTCACCAACTAATGACGTTACGTCCTTGTATGGTCAGATTTTTGAAAAAATCGTTTTAGCTTTCTCAGTTTCGTTCTCAGCATGTAGTGAGTGCACAAGCGAGTAGATTGGTATTGGATATATAAAACCTTTGAGTAGATGGCGACTCACAACGGAGATTGTGATTTGCTGTTTGTGAATTTCTGCAGCCAAAAATGTGAAAAAAAAATAGGCATTTGACCGTGGAAGTCCAACTTTAAGCAATCCAAATAGCTCAAATTTGACCATCCATGGTTATAAATGATTGAAAATTTTGAAATTTGTTGTCGGGGTAGCGTTACATTTTACATCTGACTTCAGCTCGTTTTTCAGCGCGTGATTTTACGAAAATTTGAGTAAAATTATGACCATTCTTCTTTTCTACACCATTTTGGCAGAGAAATGATTTTAGACATGCATCCGATTCTCCTTGATTTGTCTTTCAAACTGTAGCATACATTCACATATAACATGATGTAACATTTCTATTATACAAACCGCTAAAAATGAAAACTTATTTTTTAACCAACCTAATAACTTTTTCCTTAACATCGAGTTAGATTTACATTGACAGCCGAGTGAATGCCGAGCAACGCGTCATCTCCTCAACCTTCAGCCTATTTCAATTTTATATTGGTTCTAGTGAAAACAGGAAGTAACCGCCGATTCAAAAAGGTTTGCGATTTGTGGTTAATGTAAATGTGGTCAGTTCCCTTTAATTTTGAGGATTCTCTCCAGGTAGAGGAAGGCTTTTTCCAAACAAAAAAAATTATAACAAGAGTACAACAGTCACAAAAGATTTTCGGGTGAGCTTTAGTGAGACCCTAGGAGACTCTGACGTTATTCGGAACACATTTAGAATACGCATAAGCTCCTCTGATATCTTTCGTTTTAGGGCGTAAACTGTTGGTAGGAAAAAGATTTCGCCTGCATATAGTGACCACAAATATCTAGAACACGAAAAGTAATAGGGGTAGCGTGATGTGCACAAAGTGTCCGAAAGTACTTTTCAAAGAGAGAAAAAAAATGTAGCGGATCTGTAGATTACAATCGTAACATTATTTCAAGCCCTACCACTTCAAAGGCGTTGAAGTGTTTGACGGTAAACACCACGTAACAATGGTTGATGGGTAAGTGTGGCACGAACATGAGTGCTCGTCAAAAATGCTGTAACGAAATTTCAAATAAAAAAGCGCGGCGATTAGAGTTCTCGAGATAGAATCGAGAACAAAGCGCCGAATCATCCATAAATGTAGGGTCACCTTGCATTCGTCTGGAGGGTCGGAAAAAGACACTTCTCGAGGTGTCGAACAGGAGAAACAGGACCAGTTGTCCACTCCCAAAAAGAAGAGAAAGAGTCGGGTGCGATGCAAGAGTTCATCCAGGACATACACACAAGTGAAGATTTAAGAAGTTCGGAGAATCGCCATTGATAAGCATTCCGCTGCCTGAATGAGTGAAGTGACGTACAACAGGGCACTTAGGAAGCAGGCCAATTTGTTTTCTCAAGAAAGGCGGAACTTTCAGGAATCTTGGAAGAAAGTGTGATCTAGCCCGCAAAGAACAAGTTTATTTGCTGCATGCGAGTTTTGAGAAGTCTTTTGAAAAAGCCAGGAAGACCTTTTCAAATTTTAATTCACCTTTACTTGAGCAAGGAGCTGAAAATCCACACTCACACTTCTAAGGTCCTATTACAATTGTCAGTGCTAGAACATCTCAGCATTGTTTCGGAAAAAACATGAAAAACTTCGTTTTCTCAATTTCTAGCTAAGAGAAAAATACAGCAACTGCATAGAGAAATGTCTTATACGAAATGACAATGCATGAGCAAGTTAGAAATTTTGAAGGATTTTTCTGAACTGACTTCCAATTTTTTCTTGGTTTTTGGGGCGCTTAGATCTTTTTCGTTTGGCTTCAATCTTCGCTTGAATCAAAGCTGCTGCAAAACTTTAGGCACTATCTTGTAGAGCTAGGTTTGCTCTATCTAATGATACATCAAATCCTACTTGGGATATAGGATTATTCCGAGTTATTGCGGTGTGTACCTATTTTGGTGCAGGAATTATGCATCAACCTAATACAAGCATTTTTCCTAGATCGATAGCCTATGCAAGACAAAGAATATCAAATATAATAATGCGCAACAACCACAAAATCAACAAATTTGATGCATATTTTTCAGTGATCACGCTAGCAACTAGAGATGAGCCTGACAACAACACTGACTTTCTACGTCCCTTCGTCTTTTGAGTACTTCGGAAGCACTGTGTGCCTACTCAACCAGATTTGACTTTTTGCTACTTTACACATCCGCTTTGAGGGCAGTGTCTGCGCGAAAACTCAGTATCTAGAGGCTAATGCATGACGAAGGCGCAGATGCAGTATTGGCTGAGCGGGCGCGAACGCGGCGCGCGCCTATCTTCGCTGTCGCAAATCCTGCGCTTCATGCGCTCTGCGGCTAACGAAGCCGCGTTCGCGCCCAAAGATATTGTGCCTTCGTCGTGCAGTAGCCTACAGCTCTTTCTATTAACTGGGCTACCAAGGCTGAGACGCAGAGCCGCTGTGGGATCCTACGAGTTTGACTGTGGCGGCGTGCGCACTCCGCCACAGGGCAGGAAATTCGCAAGTGGGCGAGACCTTCCCGCTGGGCGTAAGTCTCCCAAGTTCCCAGTTTCTCGCTTCTGATATAATGTTAAACGAATTGAGCAAGACGTGTCCGAGGCATACTTTTAAATGGAGCTAAATTCCCATCATACCCCTATCTTGCCGGATTCTCAGCGCGAAATCGACATAGCTGGGGCTCATAGATACAGTGAGTTACAGCTTCTTTACCATTGTGCACTTATATTTCTTCAAAATGAATCGGGGAAAATTATAAGCACTTAAACATCTATAAAATGAATGATACTTGATTTTTTTATTCGCTTTGTAGAACTTGAAGCTTTGCCTCGCTTTGTATATGATTTTGAAAGTATATCTATGGGCCGCATGCACTAACCTCCCCGCGGGGAGGAGATCGCAGCTTAAAAGAAAGCTTTATATTTCGGAACTCCAGATACCTGGATTTCACGTTGTGTACCTATCCGTAAGTATTCCTGCTACCCTTCACTATGAACATGTTGAACAGGAGCGAGAAGCTGTACAAACCGCATTTTCCAGCTTTTGTATGATCCCTGATGATCCCCGGCGCTTTTCTTTAAAGTCATTTTTCTTTCTCCGAAGTTAACGAATAACCTTCAAAGTTGTGCAGATTATCTAACTCGACAGTGCTAAGCATGTTGCTGATAAGAACAAATGATTTTTAAAGTCATGAAATTTTCGATGATCCGCAGGTCGAAATTTGAGGTTTGCCGAAAAATTCGACTTTTCAAAAACTCATTTGTTCTCATCAGCAACATGCTTAGCACTGTCGAGTTAGATAATCTGCACAACTTTGGAGGTTATTCGTTAACTTCGGAGAAAGAAAAATGACTTTAAAGAAAAGCGCCGGGGATCATCAGAGATCATACAAAAGCTGGAAAATGCGGTTCGTACAGTTTCTCGCTCCTCTTCAACATGTTCATAGTGAAGGGTAGTAGGAATACTTACGGATAGGTACACAACGTGAAATCCAGGTATCTGGAGTTTCGAAATATAAAGCTTTCTTTTAAGCTGCGATCCCCTCCCCGCGGGGAGGTTAGTGCATGCGGCCCTATATCTATAGTATGCATCTTCAAAAGTATTTTGGAATCGCTCTATACCTACACTGCAAAAGCGTGTGTCACTCAACTTTGCAGAATGGAAATGACTACAAAACCCACCGCTTAACTCAGAAAACAGCTGAGTAATTTCTGTAAACTTGCTGAAGGCACCCATCACTGGGGAAATTTACGGGGTATGATCATTTTAGTAGAAAGCGGTCGCATTACTATGTGGGTCCAAATGGGATCTGTATCACTCAACTCAAAGCTCTTTTGCAGATCAATCCATCACTCAGATCACATTACATCTAATACTTATGTCAAACAATGTAAGTCGTTGCTGGCCTACGACCGATGGCACAAACATTGGATTCAGACAGATAGTAAATGGCGAAGTATATTTTCATGCTGTATGCGAAAGAAAAAGAAGAAAATGGAGAGGACAGATAAGCTTGAAGAAAAGGCAACGCAGATCGATATGCAAGACGTTAAGGTGAAATGGCAAGGATTCGCAATAAAACTAATGTTTGTGACTTTTATTGTTCGAACAGATGCATATTGCAGCTATCGGATGAACGAGTTGAATCAGCATCAAGTACAGCGACGCCCAAGCAACAGCTATCAAATCAGAAGAAAAAGCGTACTACTCCTCGAAAAGCTGCAGAAATGCCTAGAGCGAAAAGCCCTTTTAATGAGAACCTCAAGACAGCAGAGGACAATGTATATGTAGTCCCAACAGCTCAAATAGGGAAGAAAAGGATGAAACCAGGCAAAAAGAAAACAGATGTTGGTAAAAAGAAATCCGCATCGGTTAAAAAGGATGATGACTCCGGATCCGATTGCATCGACTACTGGCTGGTTGTGCTGGATCCTCCAGACGAAGCGACCCAGGACCAGCTTGTTCTGGACAGAACCGCAGACGCTCCATTTGGTACTTTACCTACCCCAGCCGACTACTCAACTTTACCTCCAGGAGTTCGAGCTGGTTTGAACCTTGCCGGTCGTACTTCCGGAAGCAGAGATGGATCCTGGGAGAGGGACAGAGGAAGCAGAGGAAGCTCAGCTTCTGCAGAGCACGATGATAACAAGCGAAGATCTGGCGAGAAGGAAAGAGGCAGTGCAGCTTCCGCAGAACAGGACGAGTTCAGAAGAGGATCGAAATCTCTACCAAGTGGCTCACGACTATCTCTCAAGCCCGGTGGAGCAGCTCCACGTCGAATCGCAACAGCCAGAGATCGCACTTCTGATAAGACTGCTAAGCTGCAAAGATTCGTTAGCCCAATGCGGACTTCGACATCATCATCGGTAAGTTTGAGACTGAAAATAAAAGGCCAGGAACGAGAGTGAGAGAAAGAAAGGAGGGTCAGTATATGAAGGAGAGTTCCACTTTACCATTTGTTACAACGAGATGGTTGTGCTGTCTGATAACTGGTACACAAGCTAATTGAAACTGAGTTGGTTATGTTTCAGCAAGGATTGGGAACAGCTCGAGGACCACCCACAGCCGCAGCAACACAGAAATCTAAGGTGAGGGGAATTTCGCGCCATCATTTCCAACCACCATCAATCAGTTCTAGCCACTTTCACGGCCTAGTCCGATGACGAAGGGAGCAAGCCCAGTGAAACCATGGCCAGTAGACGTGTCCATGTCGGTGGCTCAGCACCAGCACGGAGAAAACGCTCGTCATAGCGGATATGCAATGCCAGTGCAAGAATATCCAGCTTACGATGGCGGATACAGACGCAAATCAAGCAGCTACCCGGACGAACGGTACGCCGGTTACGGAAGCGGATTGGTCGAGGAAGCGTATGCAGGAGGAGGTTATGGAGGAGGCTATGGAGGAGGGTATGGAGGAGGGTACGGACAACCTCGGCAATCAGGAGAGGATCCGTTCATAAAGTCATATCGGCTCTACGATCGCAAGTATTGAAAAATCGTACAGTCAATCATCAAAGAAATTATGCTTGATGCTCCTGCATGATAGATTGTAATGATTTTCTTTGATAGCAAAACGACCGAAAATATATATTGAATAGAATCACGAACCAATTGTCATTGCTTATATTAATTTTGGTGCAATAAAAGTTCTATTAATTTCCGTGTATATAACGAACTCACCTTGGTGTGGATCTACGATCCAAGTAATAGAAGTGCAAATCAATCTCCGCGGTGTTCATTAGCCGTCTGCAAAAATTTCACAATAATGTATTTCTTTCCTGAAAATAACACCAACACAGCTGCATGTTCCTTTTTATAGTAATTCAAGCACTCAAGCCATAAATGTTCTTGCTGTGCTACGATATGCAGATCGAAGTGCCATGCAGACCGATGACATGTGAAAATTGAAAAATGCACAAACCACAAGTAAAAATGGTTGCGATTTGCGTAACTATGCTGGAGACTGCTGTCTCGAATGAAATTGACCTCCACCTTCCTTATTCGTATTAGTGACGACAGCTCTGACGGCTCCAGATATTAGTATCCAGTGCCATTCAGAACGCCTTTCGCTCATCTCCTAATGACACAAGATATATGGAAACCATATAGTACAATACACCACATACCTTTCAGAAATAGCTGATAAAAGACGTCTCTCCCTTCGTCATAAACATGAATTGAGTTCCACGACAGCCGAGACTCGATACTGTGTTAAAACCTACGCATCAATATTTCCTTACATTCGCTTTTTCGCTTGTAAAGATCAGCTATGAGCTTCAGCTAGATAGAAACGTACATAAAAATCAAAGAATTGTTGACATGCATTAGCTAGCATGGTCCTGTTGTGATATAACCTTAATTGAGCGTTCAAATGCCTATTGGCGGGCACTGCGGTGAGAATAATGACGGCAAAAATTTTCTTCATTTTTCTTAATGTTAGTTTATTTTCACTACGAGAGAGAACTACCTAGTACAGTCCATCTCGTATTCTGCAAAAGAAAGATACCATCCGGAAGTACTAGCCCTTTTCTGTAGATCCACTACAGATCAATGAACTGTAGTCATTGAAATATGATGGATCCACAGAAAAGGGCTGGAACTATTAGATCTGCATTCCAATTTTCGTGACCTTTTTTGATCTGAGGCGAAAACCAATATTTAGGACGACAAATGCCCACATTTCTGCAGCAAACTCGACTTGAATAGGCATTTGTAGAACTTGATTTGCTCTGCTGATAAGTTTTCATCATACATTCTTCATGCTTCACCCTTTCGGATACTAAGGCTCCTTTTCCTGTGAAAATGCGACCACTCTACTTACAAAAAGACTGTATGTCCGCATCCCGAAAAAAGCACTTTTCAGTACGCTGTTAGTAGCCCACAAAAGTTTCTGAACTATTTTCAAATTTCTAATTTCTGATTTAGTCTCAGAGAAGAGTACAATAGCAAATACGGCAATGAGATACGACTCCATGATTTAAAAATGAGAATTCTATCTCACTCATATACGCACTAGGAATTATAGAACCTAATATGAGTATCGCTGTATTGTATTTGCTTCATAAAATCTTCCCCATCACCGTGGTTTCTAATGTTCATTGCTTTTTTTTTGTTGCCGATGCCGTTTCAAGAAAACAAAGATGCCGGCGATAGTAGCGCAATCGGCTTACGCGGGTACCTACAGGCAGGATAAAAGATTCAGCCTTCTGATAAGATAATCGAATGACGGTGAACAGCGATGAACGAGTTGCTGCAATCTTTTTGAAGACTTTTCCTACATTTCAATCTCTAGTCGACCCTCTTGTTCTATCTTTTAAAAAAGCCTTTCCAGTGTTGCTGGAAATCAAACAAACTTGGCCCAAAAAATGCGTCTGTTTTTGTTGCTGCTATTCATTCTCTCAGTCACCTTTGCGAGTGTGTTATCGCAAAAGCAGAGACCAGTGATCTCAAAGCATAAGGTTTGCAAATTTTAATTTTCTAGGTTGGCGCATAAGCTTTGCAACTAATCTCGTGACTTTTCTCTTTTTGACTAGGACGCATTCATTTCTGGGCATGATGTGAATTAGGTAGTAAACTACAGTTATGCACATACAGTTTGATTTTTGGTAGCGAAATGGAGATAATTAACGCTTCGAAAGCTGATCAAATTCGAATTTTTCAAGAGTCCGAAAACAAAAATAAAGCCGCTCTCGTTCGAATCAAACGAAACAAGCCGAAACTGCGCAGATCATTAAAGATTGCTCTATCAACAACCTGGGCAAAGTCTCGGTTTGATATGTTTGTTTCAGACTGAGAACGATTTCATTTCTGTTTTTTGGAGTCTCGAAATGTCGAGCTGGACCAGCTTTCGAAAAATGCATAAATTTTCTCCACTCTGCTACCAAAAATCAGACTCCATGTGCGTATTTGCAGCCTACTACCTAATCTACTTTATGCTCAAGAATGAATGCGTCATAGTCAAAAAGAGAAAAGTAATGAAATTAGTTGCAACACTTATATGCAACCTGATAGATCACATCATATAACCGAAAGTTCCACTCCTCAGGTGCTGCGACATATGAAGAAGGTAGCCAACGAGCAGCATAATCGTGCTGCTTCCTGCGATATCTGCACTCTGATGATCGACAGTGTCAACCACATGATTCAACAGAACAAAACCGATACGGAAATAGCAAATTTCCTTACGTGAGAGCATAGCTTCTGTTGATTAGAAGAGCTCAGATTTTATGGATACTTTTAAAATCATCGGTGCGACGGTAAGTAATCAATGAGCAGATCTTGCCTTCATATACTTCGATTTGAACTTCAAATCGCATCATTAAACTGCTATGGCGCACGCCATCAGACCCACTGTTCCGCTTGATCCATTTCGTCCATGGTGCTGGTCAAATCAATGAACTAACCAATAGAGAAGTGATGGAGTGGATCATGTGTAACTTAACTACCTTCGCTATTGGTCAGTTCACTGATTTGATCCGTAGCAGTGGATCAAATGGACCAAGTACGCGTTTCTAAGATTAAGCTAAACTACCACTTCAGAGTTCTTTGTGATGATTTGAACATCGAACAACCACACGTCTGCAAACATATAATTCAAGCATTTACGGTAAGTTTCTGAACTGTACTTTTGAAGAAGTATTTTTATTCTATTCATTTGCAGTCGGAAGTGGTATTTGTTCTCGAAAGAACTGTTTTTACTCCTGCCGAGTTTTGCGGGGCGTTCATTAGTGACTGCGGGACATCCGAAAACCCAATGAATGTTATGTGGAATATCACGATCCCTGGCGGAAAGCCACCAGTCAAGAAATGGCCAAAGATTCCGGTAACGAATCATCAAAGAAAAGCTCACAATAAACGAGTTCTGCTTTTCAGGACAACAAACCAACTTATAAAATACTGCATTTGACGGATATTCACATCGACAGACAGTATGCGGTCGGTTCAGAAGCCTACTGCCAACTCGACGATGTTTTGGGAACTTATGCGATGTGCTGTAGGAATTACGCCAACGATGTTTCTGTCTCCAGGACTAAAGCCAGTTCGTTGATCCCAACCATACGCATTTAGAGCGAAACTATGAATATATTTCTAGAGAAAGTATTCATGCCTTCTGGACCTTGGGGAATGCCATTCGCCTGCGATCTGCCTTATCAGACTTTCGAAGCCGCGCTGAAGCATATCAGCACTGCCCATAAAGATGTAACTATTCGCCAACAAAGTTGACTGATCACAAACCTAGAGTTTAGCTAGATTATATCCTCATCACTGGAGACTTTGAAGCACATGATTCCTGGGATTACACTAAAGATCTAACTCGCGAAAACATCGAAAACGTGACCAACGTACTTCTCAGATACTTCCCAGAAACTCCCGTATATGTCTCGATAGGAAACCATGAAGGAGTACCTCAAGACGCGTAAGATACAATTTTTGGCCTTGATGGAGAAAGTAGTATCTGTATACCAGGATGGCTCCCCATACCATGCCAGAATACGATCAACGAGGTCCGCAATGGCTTTACAGTATAATGAAGAAGATGTGGGCAAACTGGTTGCCGCAGTCAGCCTTGGCGGATGTCCAATAGTAAGTCTAGCTTATTTGGATTCACTCTCATAACTTGAGATTTAAGCCGCGCCAGCTACGCTGTTTACCCGAAACCAGGTTTGAAACTGATTTCCATCAACACCATTTACTGCTCAGAAGTGAACTTGTGAGGTGTTGCTTCTTCCTCTTTTTCTTTATAGTTGATGTTCCCTTCAGTTACTTATACATCAATCAAGTAGATCCCGATGCAACACTGCAATGGCTGATCGACGAACTTATCGACTCCGAGAAAAAGGGAGACAAGGTTTGAGGTTTTTTTACCGATGAACTTCCATGCGATATTGATAAGGACAATAGCGATGAATCTATGCTTTTGCCAACCAGGAGCTACACGAAGTGCACTTGGCAGTAACTACATATTCATTTATTCATTAGATCAATTCGTCCTTAGCGATGCTATCTATCAATTACTATGCTCATCATGAATGAAGTACACAAACCATGTTTTACTATGGAAATTCATATATGCGGTAAATAAAAACGCGTGAAACAAGACAAGCGCAGGAATCGCACCCAGAATCTCAAGCGCTTTAAAACCTTTATAGTTCTTAGCGACAATAGGAAGCCTCTGTTACAGTACACTCTTCGTAAAAAATCAAAGGAGCGAATAACAACAAAAAAACTTCAGGTTCATATTATATCGCATATACCACCAGGTGATCACTACTGCTTGAAAGGATGGTCCTTCAATTTCTTCAAAATTGTAAAAAGGTAGGAGATGTTCGGAGCTTCCGCTAATAAATTCAATTGCCTACTATTTAGATTTGAAAATACCATCGCTCAACAATTTTATGGTCACACTCATAATGACCACTTCCAGGTATCAACTAACATCAAAGCACTTCAGGCAGACGGAGCAAAATATTTTAGGTCTACTATGATCCCGATGACAATATGAGACCATTCCATTTCAACTGGATCACGCCGTCTCTCACCACCTACGACTTCAATAATCCATCATACAGAATATTCACTATCGACGGAGGATATGAAGGAGCGACCTATGCAAGTTCCCTTAGTTTGAAAAGTTACTCGTGTATAGTGGTATGCTAATATGGTCAGAGAAGGTTCCAAAACTATTTTTGCCTATGATTATACAGCTGGACAAAACAATCACAATGGTGGACCGAAAGGGGAGGGGTTGAATATTTTTGACTGTGTTCTGACTGGGTTATATGATAGCAAATGGCTTGTTTTCACTTACAAAAATCAATTTAATTTCTATTCATTAAAACACTGATTAACAACGCAAAAGAAATTCTGAAGGTGTGTCAGTAGCTCCCATCCGAAAACTTCGTTTGCCGCCATAATAAAAAAGGAATTCTCGGGCCGTCACTGAAATATAGCAATGACTAATATCATCGCTCTAGACAGTCAAAGATGCTGAGACGTACTACGGTAACGTTACCGAGGCAAATCTCAACAATAAGCCCCCGGTCTGGCGATTGGAGTATAATACACGGGTGAAAACAATTCTCTATGCTGACAGCAATCGTGAGATTTTCTTCTTTAGGAGTTCTACAACATGACCGACTTTTCTCCTCAATCATGGTCCGACCTAAGCGACCGATTGTGGAAGGATAAACTTCTATTTAAGCACTACATGAAGTAAGTCACAACTACAAGGCACCTGAGGTTTTTGGAGCGCAATTTCCAGGTTCTACTATCGCAACGACTTCAATAATGAATGTTATTCTGACGACACATGCAGAAGATCGCATGTTTGCTTTCTCAAAGAAGCCAGGAGTTATGATCAGAGTTTTTGCGCCTCATTGAAGTAGAATGTAAAGGTTTATAAAGAATTCCTATCATCACTTAAGGTTTTGTGAGATAAATAGCAGAATGCAAACCTTAGAGGCAAGCCCTGTGTGGCAGAAGCAAAATCGCGCGCTCGGAGTGACGATTTGCAGAACGGAACAGTTTTGTGAGCACTCAATAACCTTCTCTAAGCTTGAACTTCTAACAATAAGTCTGAAAATGGTGAATTCTAATAGGGTTCACCTCGTCCACAATTTTACCTCCATTGTCCCGTTTGTCTTTGTGACGTGTGCAGAAAATTTTCAAGATAATCTTTCATAAAGGGGGAGGGATGAAGCGGTAGAGCTGCAAACCATGAGATATGCAAACAAAAAGGTGAACCTTGTCTAAAAAATCTTTGTGGATCATGACAAATCTATAGGATTTCTAATAAAAAATTTGAGACATTTATAATTTGCCGAGAAAAAATTGACTGTCAGCTGTAAGGATGTGAAGTAGACAGCATTCATTAGCTGTAAGACAGTGGCGGACCAAAGAGGGGGGGGGAGGGCAGGGTGGGGTGGGGAGGCGGAAAATGGGCCGCGAAATTTTCGAACGTCATTTACGTTATAAAATTGTAAACTAACCCGTCTTTACTTGTAGATAATTAGTTGGATAATATTTTAAAAAATTCATAAATTCAGAAGCCTTGTTACAATTTTCGGGGAACCCCTAACGGAAATTCTGGGACCGTCGCTGCTGTGAGAATACACATGGGAAATAGTAGCCAAAAGAAATCCGTCTACAGTCTATCCCAATCGGGATCAGGCCGAAGCGTCGGCGTAAGTTTGCGCGCTCGCAGAGCTAGCGGTCTGCGCTGCGTATGCGCGCTGTTGGAGAGAGCCAAAGGACTGAAGAGAGGGCAGAGAAGCAGACCGAGGGCGTGACCGCGAAACCCTAGCGGACTCCCGCCATGCCAATTTTGGCCTGGTTAGGATTGGGGCAGACTGTAGAATGTTCCGCTGATGAAGCGCAGTACATGGACATATTGTTAGTCATGACGTGGAGGAGAGATGGAAGCCGCGGCAGCCATTCAGTCTCAGCAAATTACTGGATGCCTACAGCCACACAAAAGTTGGTATAAAAAAATGGTTCTCTAAGATCATGTGGCTGGATACTGATAATGATGCCTTTATCATGAAGAAGTCTACTTATAAAGTCGTGAATGATGCGATAAGCATTTGTACCAGACTTTCCCAGCTCTGTGCGGCTGCTATACTCGTAAGCAAGATCTGCTCGATTGCATGGTGTTCCATGTCATCACTCGCTGTGGACATCCATGAGACTAGCAGTCACTCTGACACCGATCATCCGTTGAACTATGTGCCTCCTTCGCATGAATCTACAATGAGGCTGCGGTCCGGGTCCGTGACATGCTAAACTGCGTGCCTATCGCTAAGATAAACTGCGAGCGAGAATGCCAAGGAATACTGCGCCGAAATGTCAAAGTGTGCACTTCAGTTTGTCGATGCGCACAGCGTGTTGAATGAAATCGGGATCCGTCTGCAGTTGTTTTACGCTCTGAAAGCAGCTATGTGTCTTGTCCAGATAGATCGTCCGCGATACGATCAATTTCAGGATTTGTCGACTTTGACGAGCTGGGTCGAAGACTAATTTCACGAACAATAACATTTTTATCTACGAAATTTACATAGGTGGAGAAACATTGTACTCTAGAAAAATAGTAAACTTTTTTCAGCTGACGTTTGTTCAGAATGTTCAGAAGAGCGTTCAACTTCATATACCGAAAAACTCGTCGCAAGAAAAAGAGAAAGCCAAGGGTTGAGGAAGAAGAGGCCCCAAGAGAAGAGCCTGACCAATCTCGAACCGGATCTTCAGCGACAGAAGAGTCCAAATCTTACAGCGATCACCGCAAGGCTAGGGTAAGTCCGTCGACAAGATGCAAGCAGCAAACCGTCTAGGCGGCATTCGCCAATCCGAAGCATTTTCTCGCTTCAAAGATTCAATCATTTGCCTCCTCACCTTCAAAGTAAGCTTCTGTCTGAAAGGTGAACAAACTTATTTCTCGAGTCAGATGAGGGCATAAAACACAGGGACCGGCCTTGCGAATCGAAGGACCCACTCCAAATGAGGGTATAGGCCGATTCGCACGACCGTGATGCTGTTAGCGCACTTGCATGCAGTGCGCGCTTGCACGCACTTGCACTTGCATCAGGGCTCGGCACAAGCTGGCACCAGGGAAATTTCAAAAAGAAGTCCCGTTTGATACTGAAAATTTCGTACGAAGTCCCTTTTGACCCGTTTTTGAAAACCCGTCATCATTTTTATATTATGTAAAAAAATGAAGTAGTGTTTTCGTGCATTTCTGATTTCATGAAAGAACTTTTCACAGCTTTCTGAGCTTTTTAAGTGGTCGAATCACATTTTAAGAAGCAGAAAAAGCCGATTTTTTCGACAGAGGAGCGGACCGAGTGGTTTTCAAATTGCTATAAAACGCTGAAAATAGAACATTATGAAACTGTTTCTTTTCCGTATGTAATCTCTTACAGTTTAGATACATTTTATGTAAAAAAGTATGAAAACTTATGTGAGCAAAGTGTCGGTGGCACGGTGTCAGCTAATTCAGAAAAAAGTTCGGCACAGCTTCCATTCACATAAGTTTTCATAAATTTTTGGCCCATAGTTCCGGTCCACCAACGCGCATGCACACACCAAATTTGGTGTCATACTATTGCGTTTTGGCTGAAAACAACGCCTTTGTTTGTTGATGGACAGCTTTTGCCAATGGCATGCCGGTGGCATGCCGGCGGCGATTTTGCGGCAGTTCTCCGCCTCGGCCCCTTTAGAAACGATATATCGTCGACTCTATGAGCGGCTCCACAACTTTGGCGAGGTGGAGCTGCGTTAGCGTGTCTTGCGTTGCGGTTGCCCTGTGCTAAGGCATACCTGATCCTTCGATTTTTGGTGAAGATCATGATCCCGCCTCGCCAAAGTTGGGGAGTCGACATTAAAAATCGTGACGACGTTCTGCAGTGCGGCCAGTGCGCGCCGCACGGCACTGCCGCCTAGTGATTCGCCCAAATTACGTGGAGAAGGAGTTCTTGTGGTTTTTCTTTTTCTTTTTGCATCTTTTTTGCTTGCAGGAACTTTCATAGCTACCGCAGGGAGCCTACTCAGACAGTTGGAGCGTGCAGCGCGCACGCAGTCACACGGTGGCGCAACACCCAGTGCGCGGATGGCGGGACATTGGATGCCCCGCCGCTGGTGCTGGCCCGCGGATGGCTGCATTTTTTCAGTTTTTCGTTGCGCTGTATACCACAGGTCTTGATAATGAATTCCACTCTTCATACGCCAAAATATACGAATTCGTATTTGAATCCAAGAATTCAGATCCAGCATCCATTTGCAATGCTACCAAAGGCTAACGCTTGGAAGCAAAAAACAACTTCCACTTCTGCGACCATTCATACACTACGATGTAATATCTAACCTCTTGAATGATGAGGCAGCCTGACCACTGCGTCGTACACTGCGCGGGTACCCCTTGTGCTTATAGCATGTGATAATTGCAGGCGCGCGGGCCGCACGGGTAGAGTATAAAGGCACGCGCGCGGCGTGCCACAAAATGAGGCGCGCGGGTAGCGAGATTGAACATAAACGTAGCGCGCGGGTCGCGGTGTTAGCCATTAATACGCGCGCCGCACGCACCAAATGTCTAGGATGGCGCGCGTTTGGCGTAGTGCCGGACACGCCCACAAATAAGGCACGCGCTTTGCCGCATTGACCATAAACGCACGTGCGCCGCACGCTCCAACTGTCTGAGTACGCTGCAGAGAAGCAAGATTGCCCTACGATAAAGCGGCAGTGCCGTGCGGCGCGCACTGGCCGCACTGCAGACCGTCGTCACGATTTTTAGAGTCGACGATACCCTTTGCTTTCCGCCCATAAAACGATATCCAGCTCGACACGGTGCCAGCTGTGCTGAGCCCTGACTTGCATCCCCAAGAATCGCCGTCGCGCGGCAGCGGCAGCTCTTGCTTAAACAAAATGAAGGGGAGGAGTTTGCCGAGTCGCGACGTATTCAGTTCATAATGATCCGAGAGTTTGGGAACAATTACAGCACATGGCTCAGTTTAAGCGTGTGCTGGAAGTCCTCGAAGTACTGGATCAGTACGAACGCAGGGTAGGTAACCACTAAAAAGGTTGGGCTGCCTCTGCGAAAATGAGGCCGATGACGCGGAGATTATGAATACTCACCTGCAGCGCACCAACCGAAACCATCTTCGTCGGACGCAACGGCGCTCAGTCTCTGCGTGTTACGAATCGACGATACATATGTTGTCAACAAGTGGTACAGGAACTCGAACTTTTTTGAAAACTATGCTTTCCGCTTATTTGGAGATGGATTCGAAAAGTAAAAATAAACATAGAAATAGAGTCTTGAGCATCCAGTTTGCACATTTTTCAGATTTTCGGTAGCGTACATATAAATTTTGGAATCGATATATGCAAGGCATACGGTTGGCACGCGCTACCCGTTCATGTTGACTGCCCCCATTACTCCGATTTCGATCGCCACTCTAAAGTGCGGTTCACATCACTCAGGGATTCGCGCCGTGCGGGCGGTCCTCCTTTAAGGGCTAGCGTACAAGCGGTCGGCATAAGTATAAAGCTTCCGTGCGTGCGGCCAACAACTGAAACGCCGTCCTAGCGGCAGGCAATGTTACCGTGCAAATGGCATGCAATACAGTGTTGCTCTAGCGAGCGGCCGGCAATGCGTCCGTCTTATCGGTCGGCAATACCTGTTGCCGTGCAAGCGCCCGACAGTGACCTCTATTTTCTGCTCACTATTTTCACACATTGTGAGCGTAAACGGTGCCTGTGTGAGATACGACGCAGTGTTTAGTCTGGCTAAGCATTGAGATATCGTGCCATCAACGTTTTCTTTCATCATCAAGGCTGGATGGACCTGTGTGAGGCTAAAGTTATCAAGAGTGATGGAGTGGGCTTTCCGCATGAAAAGTTTGACCATTGCGGAAGCATCATCCATGTTCCCGAAATGTGAAAAGGATTGATCTATCCAAGAAAAATGGTCAAGATACCCATATACTTCTACTCCAACAGCAAGCGAGCGGCCGACCTTCCCCGCGCAAGCGGCGAACATTAGAGACCGTGCGGGCGCCCCACGTTAACCGTTCCAACGGCCCTTGACGACCGTACAACCGCACACACCAACGAGCGGATTGTAAGGTCGTCGCTGGCCGCCCGCACGGCGCGAGTCCCTGAGCAGTTCTTAGGTGCGGTAGCTGCCGTTTCAGTATGTCACAAAAACTTCGACCACGGCGCACTAGAGTTTGCAAATAACGTCGCTAGACAAACTAATTGGTCTTCATTTACTCTGTCTCATCCAGCTGCGGCAGATAGACCTCGTTCATTTTACGGGCGATGGCGGCGCAAGCCGCTTAGCGGGACCCTCCAGCTGCGTGATCACGGACCGGTCAATATTTTTTAGATGAAATCACGCGCAATTTCATCTACAGTACACCCCTAAAGTAATTCTAGAATGCTGGCAAAAACAGTAAAGGTTGTGGCTAGATCCAGTGCAAAAGAGAACTCCCGGAGCGGGTTTAACACAAAACAGTAGCCATTTCAACGATGCATATGGTACGTCAAGCCTTGACACACCATGTATCGTCTGCGCCCCAGAGAGGTTCCCATGTGAACCAGCGTGCGTACGTGGGGCGACGCTGCCTTTCGCTTTGACACGTTTTATCTGAGATTTCAACGGAACTGCCGGAGGTTAACACGTTCAAAAGAGCGAAAGGCAGCGAAATGACGTGGTACCTACGGGAATCTTGCTGGGGAACAAACGGTATGTCAAACAGTCGTCAGTGTGTTAAAGAATACAGGTTTCTCTGAACGGGCGTCTAAGCTACAGCGGCCACTAGCAGCCGCCTCGCTCGAAGTCGCCCGCGTTAGCGAACTATCCGAGGCAGTGATTTGTGAAAATTACGACGGCGAGCTTTTCACCCCTCCTTGGCCTCCTGGAGCTGTGTCCAGTATCGTGTTTGAAATTTCTCGAGTTGTCAAAAAAGTGATTTTTATGGAGTTTCGGCCTTGAAGATTGCTGAAGGGGCTGGAAGAGACAATTTCGACAAAACCAGCGACTGGATGCAAGCGATTCTATTGGTGGAGAGTCAATCCATACAGTTTCCAGTCCCATACATTTAGAGGCAATTGGTTGTTGACACAGGCAGCCAATCGCGCCTCAGCTGGCGGGATCGCTTCAAAGTCCCATCAGCAATCTCTAAGGACGGAAAACCCCGTAAGCACAGTCCTGGACTCAGCGCATCCAGAAGGCCAAGCAGGGATGAAGAGTCACAATCGCGATTTTCCCAGGCCCCTGCCTTTGAATGCTTTCCCACGCTCGTCAGCATTCTTTGTCTCAGGCATATGCCCTGAGGAGAAGACTGTGAACGAAAAGAAAAGACCTGAGCGAGGCAGTGGCGACGAACGGAAGTGCTGAAGCTTCGACATCACTGGGTGTATGTCAATAGCCGCGATTTTTTCGGCCAGATGGACACCTATTAGCGCATAATAAGTGTTTTATAACTTTCTGACTATATTTGGAATTTAGAAGATGTATAGGATGGATGCATGGGTTGTTCAATCTCAATACCTTAAAATCAATTCGCAACAGCAATCGTGAAGGTCAAAAATCCACGAAAATGCAGTTAAGAACAAATTCGTAGATTCGGTCCGTTTTCCGTCAAAAGCCACCAAACTCAGCAGGTGGTAAACTCAGACAGTTAGTAAGCTAAAGCAGTTTGTCTGGTACTTTTAGAAGACTCCCATAACACTAAACTGGAGTTTTGAGTTGGTGACAGTTGAATAAATCGCGGCTCTTGATTGTCTCCCACACTCACTAAGCCTGTAAACTCGTCTGATGCATCTCATATGACTGCTGGATGCGACACCGACGTGCCGTTCGTTTTAATGGGCAACTGCCCTCGCAACAGCCAAAGTTTGGACCCTATTTCCGGCATCACGAGGAGATGACTAGCGCCGATCAGCACTGTTTTGAATTTGCTATATTGGAACTGTACCAACGATACTTGCACACCCTCGGCTGGGGTGAGTATGGGCATATCATATATCATATAAAAATGATGATAAATCATGCCACGCCTTTAACAAAATGTACGGCGCTTTGCAGCTAACGAGGAAAAAAGATGCAGAAGATGAAGTGGCGCTGCCACAAGACGATACAGAAACTGCTATTCTCACAGGAGAGCCCACTCTGACTAGAAAGGTGAGCAATACACTATAACACTTCTAAGTCAACTCTGAAATAGACTTGTTTTTTGAGAGACCATCTATCACAGCAGCGCCTGCAAAGAAAACCCCTACAAGGCAGCCATCCCGCGAAGGCACCAGACGATTGAGAAAAGCGGTACCAGACCTGCCCGAACAAACACAAGAAGAAAGTTCGGTAAAATTAGCGAAAAAGCGCAAATCTGGGGCACAAAGGCGATGGAAGATAACTGAAGACAGAACCAAAGCTGACGATGAAGATGAAGAAATAAAACCAGCTGCACCAATAGTTATTCCCGAGATATATCGCAAGAAGATGAAGAAACCGCCAACACCTCTACAACCAGCAGAGGAGATAGAATCTGAATTACTCGACTATTGGCTGTATCCTGATGGAAGACCACCCAAGAATGGAGTAGTTGTATGGGAAGGCGATTTAACAGCATTGATAGCAAAACATGAAAACAAACCTGCAGCGGTACAAGAAACAAAGAAATCAGATAAGAAAAGTGTAGTTTTGTCAGAAATTCCCTCTGACAGAGAATCTGATCTGAGAAAACAGGGAAAAACACAAGCAGTGGGATTGCAACCTACCGCTGAAGCTCCAAAGTTTGCGCAACAAGCTTATGGTGTAGCCGACCGACCTCCGCAGCAACGATCGCAGGGTAATAGTTCTCTAAAAATTCCTCAAAGTCAGCAGCTGTACGTAGCTTACAGTTTCCGCCTCAAAAATCAAGCAGCCAGCCTTTCCATCTAAGCCGTTACAAACTCCAGTCCAAGAAGCATATTACTTCCCAACAACAGCACCCACTTACCCTCCTGGAATAAATCCACCTCCATACATGTTCCCGACTTCTGACCCTGCTCCAAAACCACGACCATCAGAGGTGAGAAGCTTGTTACTTGAACTTGAGCAATTCCCACCAGAAAACTGATTTTTTTAAGCATCGGCGACTACAACAGTTTACAGGGGTAGGCCCTAGTATGCCATTGTGATAGAGGATGATGCACAAAAGTGACTTGTTATCGTGTACATTTGCCTCAAAAACAGAAATTAGACGTAATAATAAACATTTGAAAGAATTATATGAGATTTTCTTTTGTCGTTACACTGCAAAAGTCGCCCGGAAGGGAGGTCGTAAGCCGCAATTTCATCCGTCTCCAAAAATGGCAGAGACTTGTTTAATTTTCCAGACATTTGACAAAAATAGGCATCTATACTGTTATTTGGCACTGGCAGTTCGGAACAGATGTAATCGTCAGACTTAGTATCGAACGCTAATTTCCAACCTGGCATCGTATCAGCCGTGGAGTCAACAAGTGCAAAAACGCTTGCTGAGGGAACAGTTGTCTTCGATCCTCTGTGGCTTTTCAGACTATGAACAGGTTCCACTTCGAATAATCTGCAATTATTTACCGTTTTCAAACCAAAGCGCGTTTGATCGGTGGAATAAAGGCCTCTCCCCAACAGAATCAGAGCCAGATTTAAAACAAGAGAATTGAAGATGTTCCAAAGGTCTCATTTTGTATTTGTACAACATTTTATCGAGTACTTGGGCCTGCTGTATGCACACGCATAACGGATAGTCGTCGAGCACGAGACTGAAGTGGAACACTCGCTGCAAACTATAAAACGTAACATCTTATAAAAGTTCATACACATGATATAGATTCAAATGCACATACCCATAAAATCGTAGTCAAACCGAGATTCTTCAAAAATCATAGCTAGTAGACTTGTTATGGAAATGAGCTCACATCTCGAAAAAAGCGCATACACAAACAAATGAATATATATGCAACATTGGTAAAAATCACAACCTAGAAGCGATATCAACAGTGCTTTGGAAGGCAAAAACAACACAGTAAGCAGCAGCAACTTTTTGGCAAATATGACTAGACATAAATCACGCGAATCATTTGATTCAAATTCAAAGCACTCAGGTTTGACCTTGTACGTGCTTGATCACTGAAAGTTAAGATGAAAGACTACTAGAGCAAGCTAGAATGACCGTGATACTGTTACTTATAATATAACAGCATGTGTACTTGAGTATACTGCGCACAGCTGCGACTTAGCGGCTTCACAGAAGCAAACTTCAATATCGAGGAGGTGGTGGCAGCGCCCATAACACAGCACTTCTGTCGGCACTGGTTGACAGAAAGGAAAAGTCAAACGGATGCCACCTGCAACTATTTGACATTGAAATGGTTGAAAAATAGAATGAATTATACAGTAAACAGAGCAGAATTCAAGGTTAACCACTCTAACCACTCACCGACACTGTATAACTTTATCAGAATGTTCGGCAACTGGCAAATAAACCAATGGTGCCATGAGATCTCCTCGCATATCTGTGATCACCATTCTGAAAACGGCAATGCAGTGCAGAATTGCCAAGTATATTGAGTACAATCATACCTTTTGTCATAGCTGGCAGAAAGAAGATAATAGGCAGCGTTACTGAATCGCACCGTTCTAACTTCATCCCCATGAGGCCTTGAAGAGCAGGTTCTTATCGTTAGCGATTTAAAAGGCAGGAAACAAGAGAATTGTTGTTGTGAGAAGTCGGGAAATTCGCGAGTACGTTGCGCAAGCTCTGTCCAAAGTCCACTCAAGGCCGGCATAGAACTTCGCGCTGCATGCGGCGTTAAAAGCAGTGTCCGAGCAAGATGGGGGTTCTGGGATTTCATTGCCATAGAGTGGCCCCCTCAGACACAACATCGCGCAAGTGCGACTCATAACGCTCAACCTAAAGCAAGAAAAACGACCGGAAAGTGGGCTCTGCCTTGGTGGGGACCATCAAATCTCAAATTGTGCGGCTTTGGAAAACGTATGTTCTCGCCGTTTTCGCGCCTCCTAAAGTGAATTTTTGGATTCAGCGTTGCGGATAACCCGTGGCAAGTGGATTTTGTAGAAATCCAGTTTTTGCCCGGACACTGCCTTTAAAAACGGTGCGTATTTCGCGCTTTACCGCCACTGCCATACATGGTGGGTTTATCGCAGTGGTAAAATTAGTGGTAAGTGGTAAAAAATGGTACCTGTAGGTTTGCAATATACGTCCGCCAGTAATATCATACAAAGCCACTGAGGCGTCTTCATGCCCGGAGACTAACAACTGCCCAGAGGGATCCACACAGACAGAAGTGACAGGCGCACCTACAATATTAGTAATTAGTTGCATTTCTGGACTACGTGCTTTGACCAATACTCAGTCATACTGTGGGTTTTGCTCGCTGGCTGTATAGTATTAACCGCTTGCGCTGTCCGCACATCCCAAAACCGGATAGTCTTATCTTGAGAGCAGGACACGAACATTGGACCACTATTCCAAGTGAAAAGACCAAGAATTGGAGCTGAAGTTTAGTAGCTTACTAAATGATGTCACACTAGAGACTTCCTCACCATTATGTCCACGCATTGATTGTACCAGCTGACCCGTATGACAATCAGTAACGTTTAGATGACAGTTACCAGCACCACCACTTACTAACAAAGAGGTTCTAAATGCACTAATTAAACTGAATCAGTTAGGTACTTTTTCAAGAAAAATTGGAAGCAAATGAATATTTACCTGTTCGCGCTATCTTCAAGAAAGACAACATCTCTAATGGTTCCGTCATGAAAACCAAATTCCATCTCAGCTCCTGTAATGCACGTGTATTATTATTCAAAAGTAGTCCCAAAAAGGAGAATACAAAATTAAAAATGGGTATGAATGCTCTATGAAGCTTACCAATCTTACACACATCCGAGCTAAACGCCATAAGCCTCAAAGTTTTGTCATTGGAGCCAGTCGCTAGCAAATCGCCAGTCGGGTTGAAGCCCAAACAGTAAACGGACCTGAAAAAAGAGCATTCAGATTTGCAGCAGAAAGAAACAATGCTTGTGCTCTACCCTCTGTGCTGCTTCGGGCGAGAGAGAAGAATTTCTGGATGTCGAATTTGGTCCGATGCACTGAAAAGTCAGTTTACACTATAAAAGCTGGTGTTGACAAAAAAAGAGCAAATTATACTATTGGTAGATGCACTTCAGAAGTGCAAATCTGAACTTCATTTACGCAATGCTTCAAATTGAAAGCTGCTGGAATTGCTTCCGAGAAGCTCTTCGCCTAATGTCGTAACAAAACACCAAGGATCTTTTTCCTTCACTTCTTTTTTCCTACACATGAATCAGAATCAAAAATATGTTTTCCTTTTTTTGTGTTGATTTTCACAAAAGATAGGAATTCGCATTACTTCATTACTTCCGAGTTCAAGAACATGAATAACACCATGAGCATTAATATCTAGTGGCTCAAAATTCTCATGTGCAAATTGCCAACTAGTAACTGACAAAGCTAAACTCTTGCGCAGAAAAGCGATCGAAAGATGCATTTCCTTTGACGAAAGTTAACAGGAGAGCACTTGATGGGAAATTGTCGAAACCAGTTGGATGTAATTACTAATAAGATAACCGCAAACGAATGTTATGACCTCAGTTTTCTGATGTCGGGATATTTACATATGTGCAATTGTTTTGAATTTGTTCCTATAGCGAAGTAACGTCCGGTCGGATGAAAAGCCACTGTGCGGATTGCTTGAGTGTCCTCGTATCTAAAAATAAGATTTTTCTTACCACTGCTGCTTGATATCACCCAGGCACCTACCTGCAGACGGGTTCAAACTGTACCGGAGACCCCGATCCATTTGGAGGCATGGACATAGGCCTTTGTGGTACGGCTGGCGGCAACTGTTGCGCCATCATCGTGGAGTGCGGCCGTGGCGAACCCTGATGCACCATGGTGGCCATCGAAGCTGGTAAAGCCGTAGGAATTGGAGCCGGCATCGTCATCTGTACCAACGGAGAAAGAAATTAAACTTCCCATTTAACTGAAAGAATGAGAATGTGGGTACCGGAATTTGGCCATTGGAGTACAAAGTTGTGCTTGTGTCATAGGGGATCGGGTACGTTGTAGGAGCCGATAGTTGCCTTTGTCGCAATGGGACAGCATCTGCTAAAGCCCTTTGCCTGATATGATACAAGCAAACGTATTGACTTACAAACTCTTTGTTTACTGGAGAACTCCTGGAATAACCGGCTTTGTGTCATGGGATTCTCGTCTGTCACTAGGAAACGACATTTTAAAATTTGATAAGAGTGAGATCACATGGCTTAAAACATGGCAAAAATTTTTGAATAAGAAGAGACACTGATGAGGAAAATATTATGCTTATCAGCTGAGAAATTAGAGTATGTGAACATAGACTTCAGTTAATAAAAATAGATTGATGTAGTGGTTCAAATACTACATGTTTTTATATCAAGTCCCTCATCCAATAATCGCCTAATTGCACTTTCAAAAAGCTCATAAAAATAAAGATATTTAGTTTGATGCAGTGTCCAGGCAGATGTGGGCACTTGGACTAGATAATCATATGAGAACTTGTAATAACTTGAATGTTCCTACTTCTTTTAAACCTGGGCATTGTATATGATCTTCAATTTTGCTTGTGCCGAACAGATGCTTTGTGCCGTTTTTAGGCCTCTGAGGACGGCGAACGCGCCGAAACGTTAGGCCATCCGAATAAAGACCTACCATAACAAAACTGTTCGGCACAAGCAAAATTGAAGATTATATACTTGTGAAAACTGTTTGAAAGACCTCAGTCAACAAACTGCCCAAAAATTGCAGCTCATATGATGTAATCGCGGCTGAGAAATACAACTTTTTGTCGTCCAATACAGTACTCGTACCGAGCAAAGCAATCAGGGTCAAAAGGTGAGAGAGTTAGTGAGAACTTCTGATTATGCAAATCATCGGCTCCCAGATTCGTGTAGAGGCGGCTTGCGGATTTGATTATGAGGATGATCTTGTTAAACCTCTCATTACCTTTATCCTTATAATCAGGAAAGTCCGCAACCCATCTCCACGCGAATCTGGGAACCGATCATATGTGTTGCTGCTTCAATGGCTAATCACACATCAGATCTTGACAAGCACAGCCTGTACACTACTTTCAAGTCTTTTTTTTTTTTCAAATTTGATGGATGCATAAATTTTTTATTTTCGAATTTCCTCTTTAGCACTGCATTCACAGGCTACAACATCGAATAAAAAGATGGTAGGTAAAAAAAAAGAGTTTAAAATAGGACTGGAAAATCAAAGAGATTTATAAGAAGTAAAGGTCTTACTTGTAGGTGTAGGCAACTCGGGTACAGGTGGCAAAGACGACTGTCTCTGCGACGAAGGTGGAGGCATGGATCTAAAGTATAATGAAGGGCAAAGGTAACAACACCGAAAAAAAATGAAATTTATCCAGATTTGACAGCTTCAACATTCGTGAAGTCTCAGATTTTCTATAAAAAAAAGAGGTAATCAGTCTCCGTCTTGGGGATACACAACTCATCAGATCTTGCTGCGCTTGGTTGGAAGTACAACCAAGAAATTTTAGTTTTCCTACGTAGGCAAAAGCTGCAAAACAGAAGTGCTGACACATATGCCATGAGGGAATTCAAAAGGCAGATACGTGTCATTTTCATGTTTGATATAGTAGAACGGTGATCGCATTAGATGATTGTCTAATAATACCAAATGCCGGTAAAATTAAAATATAAACCTTATAACACTAAAAAAAATTAATCTACCGTACTCCCTCAAAAACAAAAAAACAAAAGCCACTAATAAGTTTTCAATTTATATAAGGAAAGGGGGTGACGCATGCAGAGAAAAATTCCAAAACTCGAATTTTCGAGACACCGTCTTACCGTCGCGCCATTTCGTCGAGCTGTCGTCGGACAGGCGTGAAATCATACATTCCATTCATGTAGCTGTTCGCCATTGCTGGTCCCATCACCTGAGGCGCTATTGAGCTGAAATCGGTGTTGCGGTGGAGAACGAACGATGTTTGGCTGGACTGACTTCGTCATCATGTTCGGCGCCACCGTGCTTCTGAACAGCGAGTCCGGACGACTGCTCTTCGTCAGTTCGCTACATTCGATCAGATTGTCGATCATCTGACTCTGCACCATTGCCTCGCTGCCAGCATCGCCAATTCCTAAGCAGAACCCGGCTGCTGTCGACTGCGACATCGGATGCATTCGGCCGGCGGAGGGAAATGCACCTATAATATTGCGATCAGAGGGAGACCGTAGTGATAGTTCAATCAAAACTTACTGGCGCTCATACTTGTGCTCAACGGAAGCACTGCCATCGACTGGCTCATCTTCTCTGCGAATTTGAGCTTAGCATTCGGGACCATCGAATGTGGAAAGTGACCACCAGGCTTCATCGGCGTGGCCAGAATCGTTTCTGTCCACTGCGCTTCCAGTTTTGGCTTTCTGGAATAGGCAAACCGTCTGAAAATACTTCAATAAAATGTATGTTATCATTTTAACAATAAGCCAAGGTGCATTGTGCTGAAAGGGCTGACCAGGCCATTCGTTCGGTGAACCATTCGCGCTCTATAACGAATTACTGAAAATCAAAGGGGCTTGACACTATGATGATTCTGAGAACGAAAGTCGCCAAAAATGTGCACTGTATCTTATATATAAAGCTGAATGTCTGTTTGAATGTATGTATGTCTGTATGTCTGTCTGTGTGTACGTATGTTCCGAATAGAAAATTCCATTTCTGAACCGATCCGGACCAAACTTGGCACACATACACTTCGGGCCCCAGCGGGTGTCATAGGCTACTTTTCGTCATCGATCGATATCGATTTTATCGATTTTTATCGATTTTTTTGTTGAGTTCACCTACGGGGCTGGGAGTTAACACAGGGGGGTAATCGAGCATGGGGATTCCGAATACAATATTGGTTTTCAGGATTATCGATTACCTTTATCGATTTTATCGATTTTTTTGCAAAGTTCGAGCTACGGGGCTGGGAGTTGGCACAGGGGGGTAATCGAGCATGGGGATTCCGAATACAATATTGGTTTTCGGGATTATCGATTACTTTTATCGATTTTATCGATTTTTTGCAAAGTTTGAGCTAGGGGCTGGGAGTTGGCACAGGGGGGTAATCGAGCATGCTGATCATCCCCAAGGGGGGTGATCAGCATGCTCGATTACACCCCTGTGCCAAATTCCAGCCCCCTAGCTCAAATTTTCAAAAAATCGATAAAATCGATAAAAGTAATGGACGATCCTGAAAACTAATATTGTGCTCGTAATCAGCATGCTCGATTACCCCCCTGTGCAAAATCCCAGCCTCGCATGTCAATTGCAAAAAATCGATAAAATCATCAAAAGTAATCGATAATTCTGAAAACTAATATTGTATTCGGAATCCCCATGCTCACTTCCCCCCCTGTGCCAACTTCTAGCCCTGTAGGTGAACTCTGCAAAAAAATCGATAAAAATCGGTAAAATGGACATCGATCGATAACGAAAAGTGGACTGTGACACCCGCCGGGGCCCGAAGTGTATGTGTGCCAAGTTTGGTCCGGATACGGCGGAGCCGGGTAAGCCAGCTAGTGACACATAAAGACCATGCATCACCCTATCACAAAATTATTCAGGCTTTCCAAATCTAGCATTCAGCTTCTGTTGTAAGTCCTACCGTGTCTTACCATACACGACTTCTGGGATCTCTTGTGTTCTGCCATACATGTGGGTGGAGGAGCCAGATATTACCCTCACAATCAAGACAGAAAGCGTGAATTTTTTGCGCTCGCTAGCACTTCATAGCTCCCCAGATCCGGATTGAATCGAGATCGGATCCGAGTCGGTAAGTGCATGAAACCACAGGTGCAAAGGCACACAAGATAACAAATGTCTTATCACATGTGGGTATAACAATTCGTCAAGTACTCACTTGAGATGCTCCACTTTCAAATCGAGCTGTTTCTGCTGGAACGGCATAGCGAACTGTTCTCTGCCCACCATTTCGAGCCATGATATCAGTGACAGATCGGTTGACGACAGTCTCGGTCGATTCGCCAAAATGTCGGTAGGGTGCGGACCGCTCTCGATACCTGAAGACTGAAGTGAAACAAACGTAAGAAGACAGTCCACTACTCACCTTTCAGGTCACCAATGGCCTGCGCTTGACAGTAGTCCACACAGCCCTCATAAAACACGCCCTTGGCTACGAGGGAGATGAGACGATCATGATTAGAATGGTGCTCGTCCTTCAAAAAATATGTTAAGACAATCCCTCATAGTGCAGCACCAGTATACAAGTGACAGTAGTATAACTAAACTCACCTGATGGTCTCGATCCTTACCAGTGGGTGGCAGCAAATGCGCTACGAGACCTTGGATCTACAATGATATCATAAAACTTTGAGTATCATTTAGTGGTAGATATCACTAGTAAAAACAGCGTTGGAAAAACGCTTGCACACAAGCTGAACTTGTGCTTTCTATTTCCAAGTAAAAAACACGATGTAGTGGATGAGAACTATAAACATGTTAACCACACGAAAGCTTGTTTACAAGTGCGTACAGTCTGTTTCAACCCGGAGTAGGCGAAACATTTTATGTCAAGTAGCGCGTCCGCATCGTTGGAGGCTTTGCGAGCGCACAGCGCTAGCATTTTGCGGAGCAGACAGGGGAGAATGAGCATACGCATGGGTACAGTCGAGCAGATTTTCCGCGTAATATAGTGTGCCTGCACTGAAAATGAAATGCGGTAAAATTTGCGCGTGAACAAATAGTTGCGCCCGTGACGCCGGCCAGTTGCTCGCGCAAAAGGCTGGCATTACTGGCGTGGCTATTTGTTCACGCGCAAATTTTACCGCATTTCACCTACAGTTCAAGCACACTGTATTAAGCGGAAATTCTACTCGACTGTATAGGTCGTAAAACCTAATTGCCCGGGCCGTGCCTTGAACACCAGCGCAAGCGAGCGGTCGTCGCGAACGACTGTCGACGTTCACTATATTCCAGGAAATCTTTCTTTAGCTTTCATGTTGTTCTCGTCAATGCAAGGTATATCTTGACGAAAGCTCCCTTCACAAGTTTAAAAAAATATGTGTGAAAACGGTGCGCGCTCATTGTCGCTCGCAAAAAGCCTGTAGCGCTTCGGGACCAAACGTTCCCAGCCGCGCCGCGCCTTGGTGTTCAAAGCGACGCGTGGGCAATTGGATTTTATGGGGCCTATACATGAGAATTTCACAAATTTTTAGATTATACAGTGCAGGCACACTATATTAAGCGGAAATTCTACTCGATTGTACTTATTACGACTGTAGCTCGAGACGATGTATGTGCATCCCCCAGAATTGTTCCTACATACAATATCAAAGTGCCTGTCTTTCGATCATTTTAATATGTTAACTTCGAATAAGCGTCTTAAATTTGCTAAAATCATCGAGTCATACTTAGCTGTGAGTCTGCAATTATGCGCTCCAACCGGCTACACCCTTACTATCGCACTTTAGCAAAACTCTTTTAGCATTACAGAATATGGAGATGTGTGATACTAACTAGTACATACATTCGTAAATTAAAAGAGATAGGGGAACCAATGAGGAAACACTGGAAATGAGCCGGGCAATCTTACATGCGCATGGTATGCAATATGCATACTAGGAGAAAACAATAATGTATACGCTAATCTTTCTTTTAAAAAGCTTTTCGAGATTTCCAAAAGTGGATTACTGAAACTCTTGGGGATTTTTGTGAAGCTGAGTAATTGTGGTAAAGCTCAGGGAAAAGACCATGAGAAAGCTTCTTGCAATGCAAGGTGATTACAAAAGCTTTTTACAGATCCCTTTACACATTCTCCTCCTCACCCCTAGCGCCGCGACTGACATGAGCGCTCCAAAAAAAATTTAGGCAAGGACCGGCATCTTCTAATGCAGTCCTTTATTTTGAAGCGATCCTGTTCGACTGCGAGGGAACTTCCCTAACGAATACAACGGAAAATTTCCTTGCAACAATCACAGAGCTCCTGGACTTTTCTCTGCGAACGGATCGAAAAGTCGACAACATCGAAAGCTCTACGATGATAATAGAACAGCTCATCACATTATACATGACATTAGTCACATCAAACAGCATCATCAGCGTGCGCGGGTAATGCAAATGTGGGCTCATTTGCTGCTGGATGTACAAATGCAAGTTGTTATCTAATAAGTGAATGGCGAAAGTGACTGTTCTTTTACGAGTCTCCCCGAATGTACCTAATTACGTGCTTCGAACTAGCACAAGTTCCAGGATACGCGTCAGCCAATCGCCCTCAACTAGACTGCTGAGGCGCACCCTGGAACTTGTGCTAACAGAGAGAAAAATCATCACAATACCTCGTAACCGTACAAAAATCATATAATTTTGAACTGTTTAACTAAGTTGTCTCAAAAATAAACCCGTTAGATAAACTTGAACTTTTTGGTTTTCCTAGCAGAAGCAAAGCAAACTCTACAAACTGACTATTAAAAATCCACCTTAGTCATTGTCGTACAGGTAAAATTTTGGAGCGAAAAACTGAAATTTTCAACTACTCCAAAAATCGGATCTCCTTCCAGAAGATTCCTACGGACCTCCACTTTGGTCATCATAATCTAAACACATAGTATGATTCTAAAACATTTGCTGAACTTATGTCAAAAGTCCTCCTTTCTTGTAACCTGGGCATTCTAGTACGACTTCACTTGATTTTCTGTATCGTACACGTCATCGTTAAGAACCTGTACGGCACAGAAAATCAAGTGAAATTTGCTGAACTTTTTTTCACGGCTCAAAATTAGGGAACAAAATGTTTTTCGGGTTTTTAATGTTGAATTCGGTATTTCTCGTCTGTCAAAGCACATGTACAGGTATAATTCTTAGGTTATTCTTAGCAGACTTGCAGCATACATTCTCATACGTGGTAAGAGCTAAGAGCGGAGTTTGCCGATTCGGGGTATCTTTTTTTTCTCGGTTTCTATGCTCAAAAAATTTAGAAAATGTATCTATGAGCACGTATGTATTTTCTGTATGACGACCAATCTCGAGTATCATAAGGGTTTTTTTTCGCAAAATTTTAATCAAGTGATGGATTTCATTTCGATCAAACTTTACCTGGATTACGAGTAGATAGACTTGATGGATTATTGGAGCACATGAGGTATAATTTTGTAAAGCTTGCTTTGTCCTATTAAATAGTACGCTAACAATAAGTCTGTTAGGGAAACAACATTGATTTATCCGAAAAGGAATTTATTTTTGGGTCAACCCAGTTGAAGGATAGTTAGCTCTAGCTCCCACCTTATGGAAGCACTCCACCCTGGCTGATGATGGGTTCCAGTTTTTGAAATCCACATGATCGGAGAGTTTCGGCAAGGTGAGAAGGGCACATAGCTGTCGATAGTCTTCTGGACTGGGACAAATGTGTTCCAAGTCTTTCAAGCACTCAACCAATTCCTAGAAACGCTACCATTTTTTCAAAAATTTTGAAATATAATTTTGCATAGAAATCACCTCTACTGCGAAGTCGTTGTCGTGTAGAGGACCAGGTTCCAACTTCACACATAACAATTCGAAAAATTTATATTTTGTAATCAAATACCTGGAAAACACTATCACAGATTTATGAACTGCGTCGATTTTTTGCACAACGTACCTGAATTGTCTAAAGTCGAAATCCTGTACACTTTTCAATGGTTCGACAAAGTCTAATGCGTTATCCCACTGCCCATCAAGGATTAGTTGTCGCAAGAAAAGGAGATCATCCGAGTATTTACCGTTTATCACACCCGTTTCTCTTTCTAGTGATAGCTGAATAAGAATGAGTTTTTCTCTGACAAAAGCTGATTTGACATTCTGAGATCAGTTCCAATGGCCTCGAAATATACCATGCAACTATGTGATCACTTTAAATTATTCGTAAGCGCCAATAGTTAAGAGGTTTACAGATCTGTGATGATAAAAACTGGTTTAGCAAATCGTATTGACTCTAGACTAGCAAGACACACTTGTCTCTGTTCTAACTTACAATTAGTTTGCAAAAACTTTAACGAATTCATTATTGAGGAGACTACTTTCGAAGCTTTTCCAAATTTCAATGAGAAAGAGCGCAAAAGATTTCTATTGAGATTTAAAAACGGCAAGGACATCGCTCCCCCGATCAAACGCAAATTAACTAATTGACTTGCTGAAATGGATTAATTTTTGAGATTCGTGAATGGAAATAAAATTCCAATTAATCGCAAGATTCTATGTGCACTTTTCAACAAATAACTTCAAAGAATGCGTGCATCCATGAAGCAATTCGTTGAAATCCTTCCCAAATTCTGAACTAATAATTGACAATTTCTTCTCATTCCTTAAACCGATATGATGCAATGAAAGTGATCGTCAGGGCAGTCTAAGTACGAGTTGGACGCTGAGCAAATGTGCCTCTTATTTATAGCAATTTTCTTACAATTATAGGGTATGTCACAAATGTCACAAGTGATCCTTATGCATCGATTGCAAATCGTCAGGTTGGTCCGAAGCTTGGCACCAAATTTTTCAAAGACTCCTTTTTTCTCTGAATCAGCATAGCTTAAGAAAAGAAAATCATGTACATCTAGAAAAAAATTTGAGCAGTAATTCATATTGATGTTAGGAAAATACAAGCTGTTAAATAGATAGAGTCAGGTCGTATTTTTGCGGAATCTGCTCATTAAATATGCATGCCCGACAGAATGGCCATAAATTTTTCTTTTTAACTAAGTAACAGTAATTTGCGCCCATTGCGCATTGCGTGTATCTATCGTGTGTGATTAGTTAGAGTTTCGAATTCTTCAATCGACAATCCGAATTTTTCATTCATAAAATCATAGGCAGATCAAAACAGAATATTTGTTGTATATCAAGTAAAATACATAAATCAACACATTTTTTGGAACTTTGAAAAATTTTAGATTATGGTATTTTCTGCTTTTTTGGTGTTCTGGACCAACCCAAAACAAACTTTGCGGAAAAAAATAAAATTTCTGACTCCTAGACTTGCGTGAAGGAACTGACCTGAGTAATATGAAGTCCTCTAATCTCAAGAAACTCGAGAATTGCTTTCAATATTTCCTTCTCTTTGAGAGATAACTGCACAGTCAATGACTGCGTTGGTAGTGGCTTGCTCGGCATGCTACATTAACTGAAAATACCCGAATAATGGAGGGCACGAAACAAAATGAGAAAAGCTGTCGCAAATATTGAAATGCGAGATTATTCAATGGTGATGAGGATTTCATAATCTGCTGCTGATTAGGCAGTTGTGATTAATCATCTATGATTAACCACATGCGATTCGTAACAGTGCAAGCGTTAACATGCTGTGGAAAGTTGCGACTCGAGAAAAATGAACAACAGGAGCGCTCTGGTTGTATCAAACCAATGCAATACATCCAAGTGACAGATGCAAGCAAAGATGAATAAAAAATGTTTTGAAAAAACACAGATTTATTACATACCGTTGAGCAGAATGAAACATTTAGCAAAAAACTTATTTTTGCGTATTATCAGCTAGCGAAGTATTTGTTCCAATCGAAATATTTGTGAAAACAGAAAACTAATCTTTGTCCTTCGCATTTCCGCAATGCTTCCCTAATTTTGAGACTATTCTTTACCGAAAATTATGTTGCGACAACATGATTTTGTTATATAAGCCCAAGATTTTTGTAGGCCCCTAATCCAGAAATTTGAAAGAAGGAGGGAGGGGCATAGCGGCTGCTTCTTTTTTTTTCAAGGCTAATCTAGATTTTTGAAAATTCAAGAAATCATTCTACATTTGCAACTGGCTTGGCTTCGGGAAGGCGGGGCTCCGTGACCTAATCAAGGCTGCTAGTGACAGGAAGGCACCCGCGCGAGAGAGACGCAGGTGCGTCGCGGGCGCAAGCGACCTTCATTACGTCACAAAGCTCCGCCTTCCCGAAGCCAAGCCAGTTGAATCAAAGGTCAATTACTTACAGACAAGCACAATTTGCTTATTTTATAATTGTGAAAGTATCTTTGGAGAACTTTGCTGTCCATTCTTGTGCTCCACCACCCCCGCCCTCCTCCTCTGCCTTCACCGGTACATACATACTTGAAGTCAGATTACAGTGATTGGGTTCCTTTACTTGAACCGGAGTTTAGCTTCGGAGTTTTTCCTACTACTTACTCAAAACGGGAAAATTTTTTGAGATATTCAACGAAATAACTGTAAATTGCTTAGCTATCAATGAACTTTTTGCAAATCTAAATAGCAGAATGACTACAAACTCAGAACAGACTCAAGCCAACAACTGTCTGTAAAGCCGAAGCCATTTAGGAAATATGGAAAAGCAGGATAGTAATCAGCATCTTATCCCAGATGTAATCATGATCATGATAACAGTCCTCACTGTGAAAGGCCAAATAAATTCTAGCATGGATTTGACAGTGAACTTTGAAGACATGAACTACAATTCACACTATGTAGCCTCCAAATTAAGAATTTTTAAGGAGCAAAGCTATTTTATTCAAAAAGTATTCCACATATCAATGATGTGTTAAGTACGCAAGAAATCTTCGGGCTTTAATTGCAGAAAAGACGATGATACAAGAATGGAGAACATTATTCACTGAGCACTAGCTGCCGAAGAGACGAGTGCGTGAAGAACATGACAGATGAGAAGACATAGAGGACAGCTGGTTGCAGAAAAAATACAGAATGAAAGCTGAGAGAAGAGCCCCGTCTCGATGTTTTGGCATGGGCATCTACAGGGAGAGTGTCTTGAGATTCCACTGAGTAGGGATTCTCATTTCTTGAGCATTCTAGTTTATCAAAAATTCGAAAACTCGGACTTTCACATGGTTTTCAGAAGTATGCTATTCAAACATCCCGAAAATCAATGCGGACTGGGAACAGCATAGTCATTAGATAGCCGTAAAGCATCGATGCGCAAATAAAAATTCATGGGCAAGAAATCAACGAACTTATTAGGTTGGTGCACAAATCTTGCAAAAAAAAATTAGAAAAAAATCATTTAAAAAATGCTTGAACGAGTTAATCATTTTATACAATATGCTCGTTGTTATGTATCAAAAATAGTACTTTACAGTATATCTTAGAAAATCAATATAAAACAAAATCATCCAAAATAACAAATTTTGAAAAAAAATCGAAATTAATAACTATTTCTAAAGATATTCTCACTACCAACTTCTCTTATTCCAAAAGAGTAGGTCATAAAGCCAAGACCGAAAATATATTTGAATTTTAGTACACGTTTTAGCAATTTTAGCAACCAAAAATCGAAATCACAATTTGAGTACTTCTCTTAATCAGATTATGTCGCTGCCATATGCCCCCAAGCAATTTCAACTCAAGCACATTGAAAGCGCAAGATTTAATCTTTCTATAATCTAGCAAATCAAAGTTTTCATTGAAGCTGGAGAAAGTAACCGAATTTCAAAAATCGTGTAAGAATTATTCATCAACCTAATACGTTGGATTGAAAGTCTTTTTCTCGCAAAAACTTGGCAATTGAGTGTTATTCAAAATATAGAAATAAAAGTATAAATAAAACAAAGTAGTAACTACAGAATCTCGTTACGATAGAAGTAAAATTGGAGATTGGCAAGAATTGGCACAAATTAGGATTGAAAGCGTCAAATTCACAAAGAGAGCTTTACAAATAGAACTGCTGCAGTAGAGACTACAAATAAAAATTCATGTTCAAATTTACATGAATTGCATGTAAGCATCCAATGCGACCTGATAGGTTTAAATTCCGTTGAGAAAAACGTTCCGAGAAAGAAGTAAAATCACAAGTGAATGGAAATAACAACAAAAAAAGTTAGGTACTTTTCCGTTATCCGGACCCATTTTTTCAAAGAAGGATAATGCTTCATTCCTTGTACTATATCTGGTCTTAACTTCATAGTAAGAAGTGTCAACCTTTTGCCACGTGTCAAAAAAAATTGACATGCCATCTACATGTTTAACAAGTTTTACCAGGAGTTTGTGGTTACCCTATCCAGCGACGTAAGTTCAACTTGTTTTTCAGTCAATAATGACCCCATTTTCAATTAAACACTATCAAAATTGAACATTTTCATAATAGTGAGGTCATACTGTCACTAATGTACAGATTAGACTTGAACAGAATAGAGAAGTGCGCTAAGGTTCCATCATCTAAGCGGCGGAACAAGCAGCAGTGAGGTACTTTAGGCCATCATTTATAGTCTTTCTTGGCTAAACTCGCATGGCTGAAAGTTTGAAGAGAAAGACAATCTTGAATCATTGCTAGAAGTGACCAAGATGTTCTAATAATGGTTCTAGATTGTTTTGCTTTTATAGAAAAGAGTTGCACAGCTTTTAGGCGATCACAAATGCTCTTTTACCTCACCGGAAATGATCTCAAAAAAACATGTCCAAATGGACTGAAACGTGTCAAATTTTCGCTGACACGTGGCGGGGAGACAGTCCTCTTAGAATTTATGAAAAATTGTTTCTAGACTAAAAAACATATTCTGTAAGAGCCTTTTGTAAAAATGGGTCCGGATAACGGAAAAGTACCAAAAGTTATTTCGGTGCCAAGTGCGAGTATGCACTTTTGCTGCGAAAAAATTTGGACTAGTCACGAAAAAAAAATTGGTGGCATTGATACAGCGAAGCTACATATGAGGATCAGAAGATCTGATCAGATCATAGGACATTAGGTACCCAAGAAAGCGGATTTGCTGAAGGAACAGGATGTCTCATAAGAGAGACAGAGACACAGTACTCATAGTGAAGAGTCACCTCAAGTGGATCCATTCTAGACAGTGGAGCTACAGCAGCGAAAAAAGCCCTCGATGAGTCAATGAGCCCCCATAAAATGACACCAAAACGAGAAACAGGATGTGCCCACAGCTGCTACCATTGTCATTAGCGTGTGACAGGTTCGATGAAGGCTACTGACACTGAAAATGGTCTAGAGACAGGAAATGAAGGAGCAAAAAGGTCTGATCTAAAATTGCAAAAAATTCCAAAGATGCTTTTACTGTTTATTTAAGGAATAGTAAAAGTTTTGATTCCACAACCACACAAACCGCAAGTAAACGAATGAATAAGCGAAAGTTTCGAGAGATATGCTTGGCGACTAAACCGCTGCGTCAATAGGAATTGTACGAACACCCAGGAAAAAACACCACTTCCGCTAGTCGTGTACGTTTCCAAATATTTTCAACGCACGGAATGCAGAAACAAAGAATATAAATCGTTTAGATGAGACTGGGAAATTGCTTCCAGTGAATTTTTATCTTCAGCTTATCTTAAGTCAATAACTTTACACTATCAAGTATAAAAAGTATAAATTCGTTTCAAAAATGTTCAGATAATTTCTCAGGTACATCATTTATTGTAACATAAATCAAGAGTTGTATTTGAACTGAATATTAGAGATTTTCTCAACTTGAGAGCAAAAAGTTGAATTAAAAAATCATAAATATTAGCAGGTCCGACAAGCATGAATTTCTCTTGTAATTAGATAGAAAAACATGTCTTGAAACCAGATAAAAAACCAAAATGAAACTTCACTGAAATAATTTTAGTAAGTGAAATTCAAAGACCAGTTTTTAAAGGCTTTTCTCATACAAAAATAATAAATTTTGCTTTGAGTGCCGTTGGAAAATGCAAGATCCTAGGTAATAAATAGCAAAGTGAGATATTCCTTGAATTTGAGAAATATAATATTATATAATGAATTTTGCAAGCTTTTGGTAGAAGAATATGTATCTACCCAATATTTTATTACAAGTATTTGCATGAAAACACGAGTCAAATAAATTTTCACATTTTGCTGAATTTACTGTCTATTGTGAATAGAAAATGTGTAAAGTATAACAGAAGTAAGAAAAACAATCATTGTGACTGCATACGGCATTGTTCGCTGGGGCGGCAGATAAGGACGAACGGAGTGAATAAAACGTTTCTTGAATGCAAAAAAGAAGAAGATGGAGAACGAAAACGTCTGCTAGTATAGTTCATTCCGACTTCAGAAGTAAAACAAGAGAGTAGATAGTGCGTTGTCACCTCTTCAGTATTCTTGTTTACGACGGTTACCAAGGGAGAAGAGAAGAGAATCAATTCAGTTCGTAGCTATGTTGGCTTTAACGACCAGCTTACCCTGTATTAGGTT